AGGCAACCCAGAGGCGTATGTATTTGTTTGATTTACCCTGACCCATGATGTGCTGGGCATTCCCCGGAAGACCTTTAGAAGGATTTCCGCAGACCTCTCTGATTTTCCTTCTGTCAATTCTGCCAGGCGTCCCTGATCAAAAGCGCTCACGTACTTATCAAACCAGAGTAATGTACCAAGAAGAGTTTTCAAAACTCACCTCTCCACCCAAGGAGTTCCCCTTTCTACTTGAACTCGCCTACTCCCATAGAGTTCAGTTCTACTCAGGAGCCACCGGCCATCAGACAGGGAAGGGCAGCTTGCCAGCCTCTAACCAGAGGCCCTTTCTTTCCCCCCCTTTTTTTTTTGAAACTGGGTCTTCCCCCAAGCAGTTACCCTTTTTACCAGAGGCTTTTTCTTACCTGGGAACTCCATGTCTTGTTGGAGTTGGCTCTCTCAGTCTCGTTTTCCTCTCAGCCACCCTTTCCTCAAGCCCTGCTCACGGCTGGTGGTTTCTGGCCAAATTTGCCTCAGCCCAAATGCTGAGGGAGAGCTCTCTAATGCCAGTCGTCCACCCGTCCGAAAAAAGGTTCTTTGAGGGAGAAGGCTTAAGAATTTTGAGGCAAAATTCGCCTTTAGTCCACTTGGTGCCCTACACTGGGTGACAAAACTGTTACTGAACTCAGCCAGTCAACACCTAGGGCAAACCCAGGTGGACCCCAGACCCAAGCCAAAAGGAGCCTGAGACAAGACTTAGAGCCAAAACCAGCTTTATTCTAGTGAACTATAGAATAAAGGAAGACAAAAGGGGACATTCATTCCAAAGCAGTGTCTCAAAAGTTGCACCCCAGTCCATGCATTTTATACCCTGGATAACCAATTAGGTCACCTAATACACATCTAATACATCAATACATCAATGTATGCACCCTCTCCCGTGCTGGAGAAAGTCTTTTGTCAAGGACCAGACATTTCCCATGTCGATTTCTTATCTGCTCGAGATTCACACAGGGTTGCCATGTTCTTACTCCCTGCACATTTGCAACTTTCATGGTGGCTAGAACCAGTTTCCACTGTACCTTTGATTATTGTATTTGAGGTCAGGCTAGCGTGTTAGCTGTGGGTTACACAAAGTTCATTTTGTTCTTATCTGCACTCCCTTCTGGGACAGTGTAACTGTGGTATTTTTACTATGTGGCCTTGCTGTGGCCAACTACTTTTGGGGCCTTCCTCTGGCCAATTACTTTTGGGGTGTTTTGGGGTGCTGCAATTGGCAACAGAAGTGCTCACACACTTATGCGGGATCTGCTTTCTGGACTTGAACCAGGACTGGACTCTATCCTGACTTCACTCCATCTGTACAAAGAGTTTCTAGAAGCCCTGTGTGGCTTCCAAAATCCCCTCCGTCCAAGGAGTACCCCCTTTTGTTCAATCTTGCCTCCTCCCATAGGGTCCAACCCTACCCAGGAGTCACCGGTCATCAGGCAGGGAAAGACAGCTTGCTGGACTCTAACCAGCACTGGACTCTAATCAGAGACCCCCCCCCTTCTTTAGGAACCAGGTCTTCCCCCAGGCAGTGGCCCTTTCAAACAGAGGCTTTCTCCTTACCTGGGGACTCCTTGTTCGATCAGGGGTGGCACTTTTAGTCTCACTTTTCTCTCAATCACCTTTCCTCAACCCCTGCTCACGGCTGGCGGAGGTTCCCGGCCAAATTTGCCTCAGCCCAGATGCTGAGGGAGAGCTCTCTATTGCCAGTCGTTCACCCGTCCGAAAAGAGGTTCTTTGAGGGAGAAGGCTTAAGAATTTTGAGGAAAAATTCACCTTTAGTCCACTCGGTGCCCCAAGTTGGGCGCCAGAAACTGTTACTGAACTCAGCCAGTCAACAGCTAGGGCAAACCTGGGTGGACCCAGACCCAAGTCAAAAGGAGCCTGAGACTAGACTTAGAGCCAAAACCAGCTTTATTCTAGTGCACTATAGAATAAAGGGAGACAAACGGGGGTGTTCAGCCCAAAGCAGTGTCTTGAAATTTGCACCCCAATCCATGCATTTTATACCCTGGATAACCAATTAGGTCACCTAATACACATCTAATACATCGATACATCAATGTATGCACACCCTCCCATGCTGGAGAAAGAGTCCTTTCTTCTGTCAAGGACCAGACATTTCCCATGTCTATTTCTTATCTGCTCAAAATTAACACAGAGTTGCCATGTTCTTACTCCCTGCACATTTGCAACTTTCATGGCTGCTAGAACCAGTTTCCACTGTCCCTTTGATTACTGTATTTGAGGTCAGGCTAGTGTGTTAGCTGTGGGTTACACAAAGTTCATTTTGGTCTTATCCGCCCTCCCTTCTGGGACAGTATAACCGTGGTGTTTTTACTATGTGGCCTTCCTGTGGCCAACTACTTTTGGGGTGTTTTGGGCTGCTGCAATTGGCAACATATGTACACAGGAGGATACAAGAAAATGTGCTGTGCAAGAGGTTTTTATAATGTCATAGTCAAATACACCAAAAGAATGTTCAAACTACCGCACCATTGCACTCATTTCAAATGCTAGCAAAGTCATGCTCAAAATCCTACAAGCTAAGCTCCAGCAGTATGTGGATCGAGAGCTACCAGAAGTAAAGGCAGGATTTCGAAGAGGGAAAGGAACAAGAGATCAAATTGCCAACATACACTGGATCATGGAGAAAGCTAGGGAGTTCCAGAAAAACATCTACTTCTGCTTCATTGACTATGCTAAAGCCTTTGATTGTGTTGATCACAACAAACTGTGGCAAGTTCTTAAAGAGATGGGAGTACCAGACCATCCTATTTGTCTCTTGAGAAACCTACATGCGGGTCAAGAAGCAACAGTGAGAACTGGACACGGAACCACTGATTGGTTCAAAATTGAGAAAGGAGTTCGGCAAGGCTGTATATTGTCGCCCTGCCTATTTAACTTATATGCAGACCACATCATGAGAGGGGTGGGGCTAGATGAATCACCAGTTGGAATTAAGATTGCTGGGACAACAACCTCAGATATGCAGATGATACCACTCTAATGGCAGAAACTAAGTGAAGAGGAACTAAAGAGCCTCGCAATGTGGGTGAAGGAGGAGAGCACAAAAGTTGGCTTGAAACTCAACATTAAGAAAACTAAGATCATGGCATCCGGTCCTCTCACTTCCTGGCAAATAGATGGGGGAGAAATGGAGGTAGTGACAGATTTTCTATTCCTGGGCTCCAAGATCACTGCAGACGGGGACTGCAGCCAAGAAATTAAAAGATGCTTGCTCCTGGGAAGGAAAGCTATGGCAAATCTAGACAGTGTACTAAAAAGCAGAGACATCACCCTGCCAACAAAAGTGGGTATAGTCAAGGCTATGGTTTTCCCAGTTGCAATGTATGGCTGTGAAAGCTGGACCATAAGTAAGGCTGAGTGTCGAAGAATTGAGGCCTTTGAATTGTGGTGCTGGAGAAGACTCCTGTGAGTCCACTGGACCGCAAGGCGATCAAACCAGTCAGTCCTAGAGATCAACCCTGACTGCTCTTTAGAAGGCCAGATCCTGAAGATGAAACTCAAATACTTTGGCCACCTAATGAGAAGGACTCCTTGAAGAAGAGCCTAATGCTAGGGACAATAGATGGCAAAAGAAGAAGGGGACGGCAGAGAATGAGGTGAATTGATGGAGTCAATGTGAGCTTAGGTGGACTTCAGGGGATGGTGGAGCACAGTAAGGCCTGGAGGAATGTTGTCCATGGAGTCGCGATGTGTCGGACTTCGTGACTAACACAGTTGGCAGTAGGGGGAAATCACATAAGCAGTTTGTAGGAGGCACGGGAAACTGGAAACAAAAGGTTGAATGGATTAAGACAAGGGACAAAAGACAAAAGGTTTCGAGTAAACGTGTATTAGCATATATACCCCAGGTGTGCACGAAGAATGAGGACTAACAACATAAGTTTCCTGATCAGATCAGAATGCCCATCTAAAACTGTTGTCAGTTGCAGGCTTTCTGCAGCCATGTTACGGCGGAACTTTGGCTCATTTAGTCCTGACAACGTCCTGGAACAGCCTTCCCCAACCTACATGTACTCCAGAAGTGCGAGGACCTCAACGCCCAGCAACTCTCCATCCAGGTTTGTTGGAGTTACAGTCCAGCACATCAGGAGGGCACCACGTTGGCAAAGGCCGCGCTGCCCCCTCAGCGTTCTCTCCGCCGCGCGGTGCTGTTCCCGGGGACTTCCGAAGGAGCCCGCAGAGCTCCGCCCAACCAGCAAGGCTCCAGCCAAAGCCCCTCTCAAGGCGTGGCCACTCCTGAGCGCGCGCTCAAGACGGATAAGCAGTTTTTGCTGCTGCTCTTCCTTCGCTCCCTCGCGCGGCCCCCAACTCTTACACTCGCCATAGGAAGCCATGCCTTGCTCCTCCCTCGCGTCTCAGAAAACGGGCGAATGATTTCAGTTACGATTATTTGCACACTGATTCCTGAAACTCCAATAACAAAAGAAAAATGTATTGTTTAAAGAGGCTAAACAAGCTCCTCCCCCTTTCCCCAACGGTTTTCCGAGGAAAAGTCAGGCGTGCGGAAGGCGTTCCACGGGCGGGGAGGGCGTGGTAAGCGGAGCGGCGAATGGTGGCCGCAGGCAGAAGCTCCGCCTCCCCACCGGGCAAGTAGAGCGCCAGAAACGGAAGTAGCGTTGGTGGGTGCGCGCGCGTGCGCGCCTTTCTTCCCGGGGAGCGGCGCAGCTACGAGGTGTCTATATTTATACAGCAACCCTCCGCAAGTATCCTGCGGCCGAAGAAGGGCCGCTTCCGAAACGACTGACGGAAGGCGGGTCATCTGTTTGATAACGCTTGGCGGCAGTGGGCCTTGGAGGGACCGGTCGCTGCGCGCTGGCGGGCGAGGCAATGGGGGAGGGGAGGTCGGCCTCTCCGCGCCGCCTTGGCGGGCGCTGGCAGCTTCTTCCGGTTTGGGGGGGGTGGACGGGGTCTGTTTGAAGATGAAGTCTGGTTTAATTCCTAGACAGGTTGCCGTTCTAGGAAATGAGACCGGCCCCATCTTAGTTACCGCCTCTTTCCCTGTCGCAAGAAGAGCGGAAAACGGAACCGGGCAGAGGGGAGCGCGAAGAGGTGAAAGTGGTTTCCTGGGAAAAGGTAGCACCAGGTAGTACGGGGCAGTAGGGGACATCGCGGCTTTCCTGTAGATTTAACAGCAAGCTGGCAAGCGGATTCGGATGGAGAACTGAGACGATGAGGAAAGGGAGAATACGTTGATGGGATAGCGACTAGGGTTGTTACCGTGTGTGTGCGTGTGGTGGTTTTGTTTTGGCATTGCTACTGTTCTACTAGCAGCCTGAACCCTCCAAAAACAATTAAGAAGGTAAACTTTTTTCTTTTCGTGAAGATGAGTGGCAGAAAAAGGGCATGGGGTGACATGCTGGATCTCTCCTTGTCCCTGTTTTGATACTTATGTCTTTGTTTATTTACTGTCTAGAGCATATTCCCATGTGAAGATGTGTCCATGTGCTGCTTAAGAGGTGCTTACTTTGCCCCGTAAATGTGTGTTTGCTGAGGTTAAAAGGTATGTGTGCTTGGTTGGTTACCTTTATAAGGGCTAACTGGGATTATGGGTGGCAAGAAGAGATACTTAACATGGGGTTGGGTATCTATAGTTTTGGTCAACTAGATTTTGTTTGCTAAAAGAAAATCCATAAAGTTACCATGGGTTCAGCCAATTAATGCTTCAGCTGGTATAATTCTGCATGTTATGTTGCTGTTAAGAGGCATCAGGAGAAGGACTAGTAAAAAGAGGGAGAGTTATATCTGGGCTCCAGCTAGCCTGCCAGTCTCAGCCTCAAACTTCAGAGCCATTCCTTGTGATCTATGATGTGTGGTAGGACCAATTACTCTTCAGTGGGGGAAATATTTCTTGTGCATGGTTAGGGACTTGTTCTTTATTACTAACACACACACACAACATCAATATTAACCCTGGTCTCAGAAAATAAGTTCTGGGTTAAATTCCTGCAGAGCCATAATGGCTGTGGGTTAGGTTGTATCATGTCTGGAATGATTATGCAGTGTCTCCTTGGAAGGTTACCGGTTGTAGAGAGCTTTGGAATGAACAGAGTAACTTCTGCCATCCCAGAACCTAGAAGAAGCTTTCCTCTCTGCAATCACCCCATTATGAAACCATCAGCCACCCATATGAGATACCGCAACCTTTCAAATTTTATTTATCTACTGACATTTCAAAAGGATTATGAGATAGATCAGACAGTGGTAGCTTGTAATAATATAGTTTAATAAGCAGGAGGCTTACAGTTATTATTACAGGTAAACATGACTTCATAGTACTTGATCATATAATGATTTTTTTAAAGAATGGACTTATTATGCCAAAGTATATGCTGTTGTTTTCTTTGTAACTATACTGCTATAGAATTGAGGAGATATTTGTATCCCACCTTTGAGCACATACTACCCAAAGCAGCAACAGTAACAAATGACAACTTAGACATTATTAATGTCACTAATAGTGTACTCCTATAGCCACTAGACAGTGAAGGCTCTGTAGGATTTTTTGAGACCTGCTATGAAGTTGAAAATGTGTCTGACCTTGGAGCCGGGTCTTGGAGCCCAGAGCATCCTCCCTGCTCTGCACAGCTGGCACAGAAATAACTATGCTGGTTCCATTTCCAAGGTTGCAGGAATGACCTCAGAGATTAAGTTTGTGGGTGGTGACAGGACTGACACAACACAAAGTATCCTGATGGCAGCTGAGCATCCTTTCTGGGTGCACCAAAGCACAACATTGAAATGAAATAAGTATTTTGCCAAATAAGTGTTTTGCTGGGTGGGAGAATCATGGTGGTGACCTTTCTCCTTGGACTGAATGCCTGTAATCCTCTTAAGTATGACTGGCTATATGATGCTGGAAGTTTTAGGACATAGGATTTCATTCTGAGTTATTTCAGAATATAGTTAGGCATGTTAGTATGTTCCATCAATAATGAAAAATTATGTGGCACTTTAAAGACAGATTTATTATGGGATAGTTCTCTGGTAGCCAGTGATGTGGTCTTTCTAGAAAACTTTGAATCAGAAAAAATGTTCTGATTCAATACAAATGCCAATACAAATTAGGATATTTTCATAGAGAGATGAATCACTTTTATATATTAAAAAGGTTTAAATTAGGTTCATTTGTATAGGTAGTTTATGTAAGAAAATTCTTAGTTTGCCTTAGAAAAGATTCCAGCTCCTTGGAACAAAGATGGACAACTTGTCCCATCATTTCTTATAGTTGATTATGCTGGCTAGAGTTGATGGGAGCATAAGGCTTCCATCTGTAGGTCATAAATTGGCTATGTTTGCCTTGGAGATATCTCACTTTGCATATTTGGTTTACTTTTATTTAATAAAGAAAGCTAAGAAAAGTATTCCTTGTTAATTTTTGGTTCCATTTCTCCAGAAGTATTTGATCTGAAATATTTGTGGGAAATGCACTTATAATACATTTGTTATTGGAATACTTGGGAACATTGAAAGATTTGTTTAAATTATGTGGTACAGCAGCCCACTCTGTGAATATGCCATGCACTGTGGATTGTTCATGGCCTGAATGTTAGGTTCACTGGCTTGTCCGCAAAAGAACCTACACCATATAGTTCATTTGCAGAGTTGATTGTCCTGTCCCCTTCAGTACTCTTGACAGTATTTCATGGAACTTGGTGGCTGAAACTATCTTGTCTGTTCTCCCCACTGTGATCACAGTACCTTTTAGTCTCTGCTGCAACTTTTCCCCTTTATTCTTTTTCTTTATCCCAGTTAGTGAAAGCCCCCTGTCAGTGCCTGAGCAGCATACTGGAATGGTTGTTATTAGTTTGTCATCTTTTATTTAAGCACCAGAAATGCACATGAGTATTTTAACAGTTTTATTTATGAATGTATTTGGTTGCTAGTTGGAGGTATGAAGATTGTAAAACTGCATATTTTCCTGTCAAAAATCCTGATTAGCTCTGGTTTTTGTTTTTGTTTTTTTTTTTAAGTTTTGGCAGTTGCTCTGTTGCTCCCAAAAATGGGGTGGGGTGCAACTTGAATCTTAGAAAAGGATAGATATTGGACTAATTAGAGGTGTGCATTTGTACAGCTCAGAAGTAGCAACCCCCCTCCAAAATTATGCATATTTGTACACATCGTTGGTGTCTAAAAAACAAGATTATGAACCAGTGATGTCCATTCCAGTTTGTCATTTAGGGACTGTAACTAAATGGGAAAGATTGTGGAAAGATATGCAGGGGAGTGTCAGCAACTGAAATGGGGCTATAAGTGGAGAAGCTAAACAAGTGATGTTTGTTCCAAAATACCACTTGGGCACTTGGTGGGTCCAGGCACACTCAGCATGAAGTTTTTGCTGTTCTTGCCAAGTAGTTTACTTACCACTTCCCTGAACCCTCAGTGGGATTAGTAATCAGGATTGGGATGATACAGCACCTCATCATAAGTCAAGTATCCCCTCAAACAAACCACTCATCTGTTTCAACAGAATTCATCAATCTCCCACTAAGGTGGTTGGAGCACTTCCACTTTTACTGTCACTATTCTTTCCATTTCACTCTGAGAAGGTTATGTATTTTCATGATATTTGTGTTTTCTCAGATACATACAATCTCACAACTTTGAAATTACCAAGCTTACATACAATTTTACTTGGGATTGGCAAATATTCATTTTTACTAATGAACCTGTGAAACTGAGCTTTTTCCATTGAAAAATAAAGCATAAGAAAAATTTACATTGCACCTCATTGCAACTAGCTGAATTGAGAGTTGTGATATGTGCCTTAAAATGTAAGAAGTAGTTTGGCATTTTTGTGCTCAGCATAAATGCATATAAGATAAATTACGTTGGTACAATTACAAACTTCTGTTGATAACACATTCTTCCTTGCTTTGTTATGTTAACAGAGTGCTGGCCTGGAACTCAGGAGATCTGAGTTCTAGTCCCCACTCAGCCATGAAGCCTACTAGGTGACATTGGGCCAGTCACTGCCTCTCAGCCTAATCTACCTCATAAGGTGGTTGTTGTGAGGATAGAAAGGAGAGGAGAACCTTGTAAGCTGCCTTGGATTCTTCCTTGCTAGAGGAAGAAAGGTGAGATGTAAATGCAGTGTAAACATCAAGCCCAGAGGAACAGACTCAAGCTTATTGATAAATTACTGAACTATTTTAGGTCTAAATCTGGTCCAAGGATTTAATCTCCGATTATATATATATTTTCGCAGAAGCATTGAAGCAAGGAAGATTGCTGCCAGCAGTTACTGCTGTCGTGAATGATCACTGTATTTGCTTGGCATATATTTGAGCTTTGCATTTCAGGTCCTTTTCGATCTACTGTTTACTTTTGCTTCCTCTATAGTACCATGTGTGTATATTGACTAACTGAGGGTATTCTTTATTCAGTTGATTTAAGTCATGACATTTTGTGTCATAAGATGCCATAAAATTTTGCCTTAGTCACCCATTCTCCCCCTCCTCCATTGATGGTACAGAGTCCAGGATAATCCCTAACTGCATACATGATCATTAAGAGGGAGTACAACGATCTAACATGGTTCACATGTCTCTATTAAGATTTTCCTATATTGCCATCACACCCAGATGTCCCACAGCTTCCCTAGGATTCTTAGATGGAAATGTGAAGTAGAGCTGTGTATTATCAGCTTCTGGATGATTTTCCGAGTGACTTCATGTTGATGCTAAAAAAAAAAAAAAAAAAAGGAGACAAAAGGAAATTGTAAGGCATCTCACAACTCAAGGTGTATGGGATAGAACAAGAGTCTCCTAGCATCACTTTCTGGGTCCATGCTTCTCAAACCTGCCCTAGCAGGGCAACTGAGAAGAGTACTGTGGTTGATGATATCCCATTGTGTGGTCAAGAGAGTTATACTTAAGAATAGATCAGGGGAGTATAAGTCACTTGCTTGGGCAATCAAGAAACTAGACTAAAATGGTGCTGAATAATCTTAGAGCATCCAAGAACATGGAAAGCCAAAACCTTTTCCATTTAAAATGGGTAGCCTTCCAGATGTTTTGGCCTACAGCTTCCATGATCCCGCACATTGGTTTTGCTGGCCTGGGCAGATGCAAGTTGCCAATCAAAACATCTGGAAGGCCACAGATTGCCCATTTCTGAATTGACTACTAAAACTTAACCACCCAGTGATCCTGGCTAACTAAAGAAATGCATCAAGGTAAGGAATCTATTCCACTGTTAACAGTCAATAGGCACATAACTCAAGAATAGGCAATTTGTTATTCACCTGATGTTCAGCTGCAGTTCCTAACAGTTCTAGTTAGTACAGCCTATCAGAGTCGCAATCCAACTTCGGGAGGGGGGGCATAGATTGCCCATCCCTGACACAAATCCTCTCCTGTATCCACACATTTATCAAATTTAATTACCCCAGGCCTTGTCCTTCCTGGAGTGATGATCTAATGGGATAGATTTTTTGTGGTTTGCTACTCCCAGAAAAGTGTCCCCCACTGCCAACAAATAGGCTCTTCCCCCTTTGGCCAGCATTCTAGGCAATGGCTGCTGTAGAGTGATAATGCAGGTGCTAGAAGTGACCCTTGCTGTAGCAAGACTGTATGACTGGTTGGCTGCCTGTCAGCTTCTCTATTTTAATTTCTTTCCAGTTCCAAGTTCTGTGTAAAAGTAAGAGCAGAGGGGAATAAATATGTAAACTGGTGATATTTAGGTAGGTTTTCTGTTAGTGATCAACACTTCTGACAGAAGAATCCTATCTTGGTCAAATGGAAAAAGGGACAGAAAGAACTAGTAATAACTTGAGATTCATAAAGCAATGTTGTCATGTTGATAAATTATATTACTCCTTTTGTGATTTAATGATCCTAAAACATTTCATAATAAAGCAGCTAATACCTTTTAACTTTTCAAAGTTCTTTGGTTATATTTATTGGATACTGTGTTATTAATTCATAATATAGGCCGCTCACTGTAAGTTGCTTGTTTTTGCCAGTGATTGAAAAAGCATTAACCTGAAGCACTGCTGATTACTGCTGGTTTGTCTTGTTTTGTTTTTTCCATCACAGTAGCTCTGTAAGATGTCTAAAAGAGTGGCAGAGAAGGAGCTGACCGATAGAAACTGGGATCAAGAAGAAGAAACTGAGGAGGTAATTAATGATGGGTGCTTTTATTGGCAATACTATTTGAAATGGTTGGTGGCTGAATTAATAGGCAGGTCTCAAAAGCAGAAATTACAGCGTATTATTTGTACATTAATGCTGTATGGTCAAGCCATAAAGGCCTTAACAAATTGCACTATGTCAACTGTGTCCTTTCTTGTAGGAGCATAGAGCCAGGGACGAAATGATCATGGAACAAGTATTATATTCATATAATCTTCATAAGGAGAGTCTGTGTTTTCTAGATGCTCACACTAGGAAATGTGAGCAGGAAGGTACTGCTGCACTCAAGTCCTACTTGTGGGCTTCCCTCAGGTAGTTGATAGAGCACCATATGAAGGAAATACTGGACTAGATGGGCCTTTGGTCTGATCTGACTTGGTTCTTCCATTCCTATCTGCAAATAATTCAGAAGTAGTTATTTTGAAGTGTCTTTGTGCTAATAGTAAATGAGTATTTATGTTTTAGAATTATACTTACATAATGCTTAATTCAGAAATGCTTATTTCCAGTGCCAGCACTAGGGTAGATCAATTGAAATAAATGGTACTTAAGTGAGTCATAATTCACTTAATTGACATTCATTTCAGCAAGCCCAGTCTTAAGTAAGACTAACATTGGATACAACCCAGCAGCTGGAATCCTGAGATTCCTGTGTGCAAGTAGGCAGGAGGGGCTTTTGTGCAGTGTTATTACTCCACCATCCCATTTACAGCTTTTATTTGTAGGAGGTGGCTTTAAGGGTTATAATGAAGAAAAGGGTGCTAAAAAGCCCTATGGTGGGTATAATTCTTCTGGACTGCATCCAGTGTACTATTTTTCAGAATACTTTATCTTGTTTGTTCTAAGAATCTAACATTTTTTTGCAGGTGGGAACTTTCTCAGTGGCCAGTGAAGAGGTTTTGAAGAACAGAGCAATTAAGAAGGCAAAGCGTAGAAATGTGGGGTTTGAGGTATAATTCTATAACGGACATTGTTTTTGCTCAGTTTAGCTGTATGGCCTAACAATAAACTGGCATACATTGTGTAGCAGAAGGTATTCTAATACTGAAGGACAATGCACAAGGTTGACTGAGCACATAATTGAAATAGCTGGAATATTTTGATGCAAATCACTTCAAATAAGGAATGTTATCTTGTATCTAGAAAATTCATATTTTTATGAAATGGCTCCAAAGGGGGAGCATTCTGAGAAACACTTTTAGGCAGGGAAAAACACTGGGCAGGGGCACATTGGTTGGTATTTTTTCCTTGTCCCTCTGCGTCTATCACAAGCATGCATACTGGTACCTTTTTTTAAAAAAGGCACAATTGTACCCATTAATAAAATCAATCTAATTGCTAATTTGCAACTAGGCATATTCATCTAAGCAGATCTCCAGATTTCTGTTCTATTTATTGAAAAACCAGTATGAAACAGCTAGCATAGGTCCTTCTTTGTTAACTTACTCAGTTAATTCCTTAGTTACATTATGGCCTAAAAGTTAGTGTATTTCTTGTGGGTTTGGGTGAATCATATAATAGCGTTCTGTTATTACTGAGCCATCTGTATTGGTGTAGAGAGGGTAAGTAATACAGAGGTGACTCAGGAGTAATATGTATTCTCTGCTCTCAGACTTTGTATAGATAGAGGATGAGTTGTTGCATTTGCTCTGTAAATAAGTGGTCTGTGAAGCTCATGCTCATCATTGTCATGATTAGCCAACATAATATGACCAGTTTCAAACATAGATTTACATTTCTCCAGTATCTAGTACTTAATTATTCTAAGTCTAATCTTCAACTATATATGTTGGTGATAAGAAAAGTCTATATATTTCCAGTGATGGATCTTTCACCATTTGATGAATGTGAGTGAGTGAACAGACTCCAAGACAAGACATGGATGTAATGTGGCCCCTAGAATAGCTATCCCTAAATTGGGGTCCACTAGTTATTTTGGAACACATCAACCCTAGACAGTGTGGTTGATGATCATGCTTACTAAGATGGTGGAAATTGTAGCCTAACACAGCTGGAGGGCATTAAGTTGGGGAAGTCTACCCTAGAAGATAAAGCCTTGAGTAAGGGAGGTAAGGTGAGAAGGAAGGACTCACTGAAGAAGACCCTAATGCTGGGAACAATCGATGGCAAAAGAAGGGGACGGCAGAGAATGAGGTGGCTAGATGGAGTCACTGAAGCTGTCGGTGTGAGCTTAAGTGGACTCCGGGGGAAGGAGGAGGACCTGGACGGATGTTGTCCATGGGATCGCAATGGGTTGGATGCGACTTCGCAACTAACAAAGGGAGGTAAAGCTGTCCTCACAGAAAATGAGTGTGTATCAATGTACGTGAACAGACATAATGATTTGTTTTTTTCAGAATTAGTAATTTAACTTCTTGACTCTGTTGTAGAACTAGAAAGAGAGGTTCTAGAGCAATCTCAATAGAAAATCACTGTCATGAATTTGATCTGTTATATTTGGGAAAGGTCTTAGGGTACTCAAAGCACCATGGATATTGATTGACTATGTTCACACATAATGATAAACCAAAATTGCAGAGTCTTGGCATATTGCTCACAAGCAGATGGATATTTGCCCAATTGCTCCTGTTTGGCTCATCCCACCAGCGGGAGTGGGGAAGATGGGTAAAAGCTAATGTGGAAACAAAATCTTTATGTTGCATGCAAACCAGAATGGTTTGTTGCTGAGTCATCTGAAGCCTGCTACAAAAGAACATATGAATCTCCAGCATATGTATTGTGTCCCATGGATGTGATTGGCTTACCCATCATAGCTTGACTCAAAAAGTCAATTTTTGTTCTGCAAGGCATAGCCTGAAAAGCTGCCAGGAATAATGAGCTGCTCAAATCCCCATAGAGTCACAGAAGCCATGGAATGTGCTTATGCCATGAGTAAGTTAATAATTGTTCCCGGTGAATTTGGAAAAAATACAAATCCCTGTCCCATTGCCATTCTACTACTCTGTCAACTAATCTACAGGGGTATGTTTAAAGCTCAATAAAAGCTGCAATGGATAAGGAACGCCACTGATAAAGGACTCTCCAGTCTCCCATGATAATTAGTGCTTGGGTTAACACCTCTATTGGCCAGATCTTCATGGCTGCCAAGATCAAGTAAGGCAGTCTTCAGCTTAGTGTCCACATGTTTTAGACAACCAGTCTCACAGTTCTTGACTACTGGCCATATTAGTTGGTGTTAATAGGTTGAAGTCCACAACACCTGGAGGGCATTAGGTTGGGCAAATGTAATCAAAAGCATCTGACCCTCATCTCTGATTTAAGCCACCTTCCTATCACACAGGCATTCACATATAAATGTGAACAAGGATATGCAGTAACAAGCCAGGGTTTGTAGTGGGTTTCTAATTCCTGGCTTATTTGGGAGTGACAAGCCAGGTATCACGGTAATGTTAAGCATTTTTCTCTCTGGTTACTTTATCCACTCCTGCTAGTAGAAAGAGCCAAGTGGGAGCAGCTGGGCAGCTTGTGTTAGCATACTGCTCATGAGTGATGAGCCAGTATAGTCTGTTTTATTGTTTCATGTGAATGCAACCAGTATGATAATAGCAGCAAGAAAATACATGTTGTGCTTGTTTGAGAACAATTCTGTGAAACTGGGAACAGGGCTTGAAGTGAGAGAACAGGGCTTGAAGTGAGAGAGAACAAGTTATTTATATTCTCTTTCAGTCCGAGAGTGGTGGAGCTTTTAAAGGGTTTAAAGGTTTCATTTTACCTTCCGGAACTGGTGGATTTTCTGGCTTTGGCAATGACACGGGAACTAAGCCTTTAGGAGGACTTTCGAATGGCAGCAGCAGCGTTACAAATAATTCTTCATTTACCACCTTGAAGACAGCTGCTGAAACACAGTCTACATTTAGTAAGTTTACCACAAAATTTGTACTTGGTGGATGTGGTCTTAAAATTCTATCTATTAATAATTGTTAACATGTATGTTTAAAAAAGGAAGCTGAAAAGTTTATGTATATATGGGTCATAGGAGGTGAATGCTGCATGTATCTCTGGCATTGCAGTTCTGATTCAGTCTCCAGTACTCTAGTGAAAGGCTCTGGGGTACCAGGTCTTGGAAGTGGCAGTACTGAAATGTTAGAGAATTCCTGCTATGGCTTAATAATAAGGGGCCAACTGACTTGATTTGATTTCTTTGCCTAACTTACTCATTCTGAACCGTGCCTGATTCCAAAGGCTCAAGACAACTAGTATTGGTTTTAGAATTTCTACAAAGCCTGCCCCATATTGTTTGAAAGAGCTTGCAATACATAAATGCATCATATCATATGGGGGAAAGAAATAAGACTTAAAATTGGTGGCAGCAAAACCCACATGTGATTGAGTGCACACTAGTCAAAGGTATTTTCATGTGTATTCATTCCCTAGCATGCAAGCTTAGAAATTATATAGCAAATGGCGCAATCCAGCTGATCCAGCAGCACGCACACAAGTGCTGCAGTGCAAGGATAGCTTTTCTCCACCATTTCTAGCAGAAAACAAAAAGCTGTTTGTAACTGTCTGGTTGATACAAATGTAAATATTAGTAACGTAATGTGGCTGAAAGATATAAAGTAGAAGCACAAAATGATGGATTCAGTGGATGATCCCGGTAATATATAAGAAGGTTTACATTCCATTACCTGTTATTATCTGCCAGCCGATTGGTCTAGCAGGAAGCCCAGAATAAAATTTTTAGTAAGCTTTCATATGTTTGTATTGCATTAATTAATTAACTAACTAACTAACCTCCTTCATGGATCATTGCCTTGTCGTGACGAAGGGGCTTGCGTGTTGAGCCACCCAAGACTGACAGGTCATAGCAGAGAGCTCTGACAAAACGTGACCCACTGGAGAAGGAAATGGCAACCCACTCCAGTATCTTTGCCATGGAAACTCCATGGACAGTACCAAAAGGCAAAAAGATATGGCACCAGAAGATGATCCCCTCAGGTCAGAAGATGTCCAATATGCTACTGGGGAAGAGCAGAGGGCTAGTACTAGTAGTGCCAGAAAGAATGAAGCGACTGGGTCAAAGCCGAAAGGACACTTGGTTGCAGATGTATCTGGTGGTGAAAGGAGAGTCCGATGCTGCAACGATCTATACTCCATAGGAACCTGGAATGTAAGATCCATGAATCAAGGCAAGCTGGATGTGGACATACAAGAGATGACAAGACTGAACATCAACATCTTAGGAATCAGTGGACAGGAATGGGTGAATTTAATTCAGATGACCATCAGGTATACTACTGTGGGCAAGAATCCCTCAGAAGAAATGGAGTAGCCTTCATAGTCAATAAAAGAGTAGGAAAAGCACTGCTGGGATACAGTCTCCAAAATGACAGAATGATCTCAGTTTGAATCCAAGGCAAACCATTCAACATCACATTAGTCCAACTCTATGCCCCAACCATTGGTGCTGAAGAGGCTGAAGTTGACTGGTTCTGTGAAGGCCTACAACACCTTCTAGAATTAACACCAAAAAATGATGTCCTTATCATCATGGGGGATTGGAGTGCTAAAGTAGGAAGCCAAAAGATAACTGGAATAACAGGCAAGTTTAACCTTGGAGTACAAAATGAAGCAGGGCACAGGCTGGTAGAATTTCATCAAGTGAATACGATGGTCATAGCAGACATGCTTTTCCAACAACTGAAGGGACGACTCTACACATGGACATCACCAGACGGTCAACACAGAAATCAGATTGACTATGTGCTCTGCAGCCAAAGAGGGAGAAGCTCTATACAGTTAGTAAAAAGTAGACCAGGAGCTGACTGTGGCTCAGATCATGAGCTTCTTGTTGCAAAATGTAGGCTTCAATTGAAGCAAGTAGGGAAAAGCACTAGGCCACTCAGGTATGACCTAAATCATATCCCTGATGAATATACAGTAGAGGTGAGAAATAGATTTAAGGAATTTGATCTGATAGACAGAGTGCCTGAAGAACTATGGATGGAAGTTTGCAACATTGTACAAGAGGTAGCAACTAAAACCGTCCCAAAGAAAAAGAAATGCAAGAAAGCAAAATGGCTGTCTCAGGAAGCTTTACAACTAGCTGAAGAAAGAAGGGAAGTGAAAGGCAAGGGAGAAAAGGAAAGATACACCCAATTGAATGCAGAATTCCAGAGAATAGCTAGAAGAGATAAGAATGCCTTCTTAAATGAACAGTGCAAAGAAATAGAAGAAAACAATAGAATAGGGAGGACCAGAGATCTCTTCAAGAAAATTGGAGATACGAAGGGAACGTTTCATGCAAAGATGGGCATGATAAAGGACCAAAATGGCAGGGACCTAACAGAGGCAGAAGAGATTAAGAAAAGATGGCAAGATTACACAGAGGAACTATACAAGAAAGACCTTAATGTCCCTGATAACCACGATGGGGTGGTCACTGACCTCAAGCCAGACATCCTGGAACGTGAAGTCAAATGGGCTTAGGAAGTCTGAGCAACAACAAAGCTAGTGGAGGTGACAGTATTCCAGCTGAGCTATTCAAAATCTTAAAAGACGATGCAGTAAAAGTGCTACACTCAATATGCCAGCAAATGTGGAAAACTCAACAGTGGCCACAGGATTGGAAAAGTTCAGTTTACTTTCCCATCCCAAAGAAGGGCAATGCCAAAGAATGTTCAGACTACTGCACCATTGCACTCATTTCACATCCTAGCAAAGTTATGCTCAAAATCCTACAAGCTAGGCTCCAGCAGTATGTGGATCGAGAACTACCAGAAGTACAGGCAGGATTTCGAAGAGGGAGAGGAACTAGAGATTGAATTGCCAACATACTCTGGATCATGGAGAAAGCTAGGGAGTTCCAGAAAAAATCTACTTCTGCTTCATTGACTGTGCTAAAGCCTTTGATTGTGTGGATCACAACAAATTGTGGCAAGTCCTTAATGAGATGGGCGTACCAGACCATCTTATTTGTCTCTTGAGAAACCTATATGCGGGTCAAGAAGCAACAGTGAGAACTGGACATGGAACCACTGATTGGTTCAAAATTGAGAAAGGAGTTCGGCAAGGCTGTATACTGTCGCCCTGCCTATTTAGCTTATATGCAGAGCACATCATGAGAAAGGTGGGGCTAGATGAATCACAAGTTGGAATTAAGATTGCTGGGAGAAATATCAACAACCTCAGATATGCAGATAATAGCACTCTCATGGCAGAAAGTGAAGAGGAACTAAAGAGCCTCTTGATGTGGGTGAAGGAGGAGAGCGCAAAAGTTGGCTTGAAATTCAACTTTAAGAAAACTAAGATCATGGCATCCGGTCCTCTCACTTCCTGGCAAATAGATGGGGAAGAAATGGAGTTAGTGTCAGATTTTATTTTCCTGGGCTCCAAGATCACCACAGATGGGGATTGCAGCCAAGAAATTAAAAGATGCTTTTTCCTGGGGAGGGAAGTTATGGCAAATCTAGACAGCATACTAAAAAGCAGAGACATCACCCTGGCAGCAGAAGTGTGTATAGTCAAGGCTATGGTTTTCCCAGTTGCAATGTATGGCTGTGAAAGCTGGACCATAAGTAAGGCTGAGTGTCTAAGAATTGAGGCCTTTGAATTGTGGTGCTGGTGGAGACTCCTGTGAGTCCCTTGGACCACAAGGCTATCAAACCAGTTAGTCCTAGAAGAGATCAACCCTGACTACTCTTTAGAAGGCCAGATTCTGAAGATGAAACTCAAATACTTTGGCCACCTAATGAGAAGGAAGGACTCCCTGGAGAAGAGCCTAATGCTGGAAACAATAGATGGCAAAAGAAGAAGGGGATTGCAGAGAATGAGGTGGCTAGATGGAGTCACTGAAGCAGTTGGTGTGAGCTTGAGTGGACTCCGGGGGATGGTGGAGGACAGGAAGGCCTGGAGGAATGTTGTCCATGGGGTTGCAATGGGTCGGACACAACTTCGCAACTAAGAACAGCAACAAAATAAATGTATAGGCTGCTGAATAACCTGACCGAGCTCTCTAAACGGCAGACAACAATAAAATGCAGGCTAACATTATAGTTACTAGTTGCGGGGGTGGGGGGAGACAAGGGACTGCTGGTAGTAGAATGGACTCTTACAACCACTTGGTAAAACTACTACTACTATTATTATTATTAATTATATTTCTATACCACCCATAGCCGAAGCTCTCTGGGTGGTTCACAACATTGAAGTCCCCCATCCAGATTCCAACCAGGCCTGACCCTGCTTGGCTTCCAAGATGAAGCATGATCAGGCCCTTCAGGCTGCATGGAAGCCCAGCTTCTATACTGCACACACCCAATGCTCCCCGGGGTGTTCACATTTTAAGTCACCTATCCAGATTTCAATCAGACCTGATCTTACTTAGCTTGCAGGATTAGGCAGGATCAAGCACTTCAAAATCAGGTCTCAAAATTCCTATGAAAGAGGACAATTTTTACCCAGCACCACTATTTTAGATTTCCCTTTTAAACCATCCAGTCTTTATTTTTACAGATGTGCTTAATAAAATAAACATGTTTGGTTCTTTAGAAAAATACATATATACGGGATGGTAGTTGTTTTGGTTGAAGTTTGGTAAAACATCATTGCTATGGCTAACCAATCCCTCATTGCTACAACCTAGTATTCTTATGTGAGTTTTGCCATTAAAAAGCTACTAGCAGTGTAACCAATTCAGCAAGAAGAATGAAAAAATACTAGGCAGCCTGCTGTAATGTGTAATAGTAGCCTGCGTTTCCATGCAGGTCATGAAGGAGAGGCAGCTTTCCCCACCCAGTATGTTTGGTCCAGATTGTGGAGCATGAGACTTTGGTTTCTCCATTACCAGTTCATTAAATGCTTTTCTTTCTAATAGGTTCTGTAGTATCCAGTGGTTCAGTGAATAATATTGTGGTTGAGAAAAAGCCTACCAATGTGGAAGCAAACGGTGAGAGCCGGCAGCTGCTATCTTCTGGATTCACTCAAAGTAAAGCATGCAGCTCTGATATTTATCATAAACAGTTAGCTGCCCTAAATTGTTCTGTGCGTGACTGGATAGTAAAGCATGTAAACGCCAATCCACTCTGTGACCTAACGCCGATTTTCCAAGACTATGAGAAATATTTAGTTGAGATAGAACAACATGGAACAAGTAGTGACAGCGGTGACTCTGAAAGTGACAATATCAAGGCAGTTGGATCTCAGGCTGGCTCTGCATCTGGAAGTTCAAATCTTCAGCAAGGTTCAACGTTTTTCTTTAACACCAACAAATCTGAGGATACATCAGGAAAGAAAATGGAATTGGAAAAGAAAATGGAACCAAAACTAGGGTCTACTTCATCTGTCTCATTTACTTTTAGCCAGAGTGTTGACAGCTCTGGTGTAAGTTCTGGTGCATTGCCTAGTTTCTCATTCTCCTCTGGAAGCACAGGTTTATTTGGAAAAGATGCAAACCAGGGCAAAGTTGTTCCTTCATTTTCCAGCAATTCATTAGATACGCAGACAGAAAGTGGTGTCAATGAAGAGAAAGGTAAATATTAATTGTTTTAGTAATTGAGAAACTAGGTGTAATCTCTCTCTTGCAATGTGGTGAGATTTCTGTGATTAACACATGCAATTAATCACATGCTGCCTTGATTGGCTTAAAATTGTACTTTTTTGCTTGCTATATTGTGAGAAGTAGAAAAAAATCAAAACTAATTTTTATTGTATCCATCAAGTAGAATGCCATCAAGTGTGCTAGAACATTGTTTTGTAAACTAGCTATTTTGGAAAGCTTACAAACCATTATTTTAAAAAGTTAAAGGCTGCTTATATATTTCTTCTACTAACACAGAAGGTTAATGTTGGAAGATCTGTATAGGGTAACATCTGGGTATCTTGATTGGTATGAGTAGCATACAGTTTTCTGCTAAGAATATAGTTTGCTATCATCCTTCTTGCAGGAGGAGAGGATGAGGAGGAGGAGCCTCCAAAAGCAGTAGTTAATGAAATAAAGGAAGAGGATGCCTTCTACTCAAAGAAGTGAGTTTTGTTCTTTGACATTGTGACAGTGAGTATGCTCTTACCATGAGGTAAAGCATTAGGTTCAGATTTCTGTAGTCTTGTCTGTCTGCAAATGAAAAACCTCAGCAGTCTGTAATCTATACACTTACAGAGTCAGAAATGCTCTGCTGCTTCAGCCAGTGTCAATGTCTGTTTATGCTGCTTGAACAATGCACTCTGGTGAGGGAAAGTTAAGGGTTGTCCTTATTTTAGCTTTTCTCCACTCAGAGGACTATGCTCTTTTTTCTGTGAACAGCTAATGTTAAACCTTCCTTAAACTTCCAGAGTGGTTTTACATGCAGCATTGGGGGCTTCAGTGCAGGGGGCTTCAATATAAATATGAAGCCCTCCCTCCCTGAGCTCATTGGAGTAGTGGTATGGCAATTATTTAGATCCTAGCCATAATTCTCAGTATTTTTAAAGTATTCAATATGTTTTAGAACATTTTAACATAATATGATCATAGTCAAAAGATCAGTAGTTTTTTGATAATTTCAGCATGAACTTGAATATATATTGTTTACACATTGCTGCATACAATTGGCAAGCTATTTTGATGCTTTTTTAAACCTCTTCCATATTTTCAGGTTTGGTGAAATACAGCATTAGCCTCTCATTTGCACACATTTTATATTGTGTCCTTTTTTCAGGTGCAAAGTCTTCTACAAGAAAGATAATGAATTTAAAGAAAAAGGAGTAGGAACACTGCACTTAAAACCTGCAGGGAATCAGAAGACTCAGCTATTAATACGGGCAGATACTAATTTAGGTATGTGCCTTTTCTGAAAAATATATCTGTAAAAGTGCTATAAAAGTCACTGCTAAGTGAAGACTGTTAACTCTATCCAACTAGTCAAGTTACTTAGTGCCTTGCTCAATTGTGTGAGAAAGTTTAGGGGCTACACACATAAATAGCTTCCATGGCTTCCTCCAACAGAGGTTGTGATTTGTGCTATGATAGGGTGTGTGCATTCAGTAGTGCATAGCTGAATGACTTCTTAAACATGTTTGATATTTTGAGGCAAACCAGTGCTGACAAACGTTTTAGCCACTCTGGCCTTCCCATTATGTAGTACTTGGCCATTGGTTCTCTGTGGTGCATCTTTTATTTTAATTGCTAAGTGGAACTGTGTAGATGTAATGTTTTTCAGTGGAGACCTTATCTCTTTTTAGAAATAGTAGCTTGATGTGATGAGAGAACTAGTGGGAGAGTGATATGAGAGGAGTTGTAACTGAGAAGGAGAATGTACACTTTCTCCAGAAGAAAGTGTGGGAAGAACAAACCTTAGAGAACCAGTGCCAGATGAAATAGACTGTTAACTAGGTTGATCAATAAAAGACTGCTTGATTTGTTAAAAAGGCAGTTTTATGCCATCATAATTCTCCAGTACTTCCTAAATAACTTTATCTTATAAGTGCATTTTGTTCTACTGATTTTTTTGTATAACCTGCTTCCCCAAACCCTGCTTCCTTGTAGGAAACATTTTGCTGAACATTTTGGTGCCCCCTAAGATGCCATGCTCCAGAACAGGGAAGAACAACGTTCTCATTGTCTGTGTTCCAAATCCACCCATTGATGAGAAGAATGCCACCACCCCTGTTCCTATGTTAATAAGAGTGAAAACAAGTGAGGATGCAGATGAGTTGCATAACATTTTACTGGAAAAGAAAGACGTGTAAAATCTGGCTTGTTGAATGTTATGAGGGAAACTTGCCAAACTACTGCTGCTCTTTTTCTTCCCTTAACTCTATTAGGAACTTTTGAACTTGCTTCTCTGACATTTTAAGGATTGTCTTAGGAATTCTGAAGGGTTTGGTTGAGTAAGATGGCCAATAAATGTTTTAACTGAATACAAGCATCAAATCTTTCCTCCCTTCTATTTTGAAATATCTAATAAATCAATTGTATTTAAATTCAATTTGCATATCAAAAAATAAAACATGTTTCATTTACATAATTACTGAAAGCACACACATTGTATATTGTGTATGGGGGAAATTGTGAGAAAGAACAGAATGGATATAAACTTCTGGGACTTATTCCCAAATTTAATCCTGGATTGTTGTGCTCAAAGTGAAATCACTGTTAGGATTATAGTGAAGAAATGTTTTAAACTGGATGGTATAACTTTGATTTTGAGTAACACAGTTGCCAGAGAACACTGGTTTTTAACATTAAAATCGGGGCTGAGATTTAGCAGAAAAAATTGCATGTTGTCTGCAAAGTTCATTTAAAAATAATTGTCATATCATGGTGCTTATATGCCAGTTTCACAGGTGTGTCTCCTCCCTGTTTAAGTGCTCTCAAAGAGGCTGAGAAGCCAAAGTGACAGACTGCATAGTGGTTGCTTGCATTCTATTGAAAAATGAGTGATAGAGAATGCAGAGAGGCTATCTTCTTTCCATTGCACATGACTTAGCTTTCCCAAAGCCAGCACCCTCAAAATGTGTTGGAGTAGGTCCCATCATCTCCAGTCAGCAGACCTGTGCTGACTGTGAATAGTTGCAGTGCAGCTTAGGGAAGATTGGCTTAGTCTGCCCCTTGGGTGATGTCACATGGATTTCTTTTGTTGTAATGCTTGGGCAGGCTCTTATCCACTGTACAATTCTGTCAATGTCTTACTGCAGTGTTTAGGCTTGAAAATGCTATCCAATTCCCATTAAGGTCAGAGGGTTGTACAGGAGAGCTGTGAATGATGTTCACACTTTGTTTGCATGCATTTCATAGTATTTGCAGTCAGACTTTGGATATTACGTGAATTGAACAGGTGTCTTACTAATCCTTAGTAGTATTCTAAAAGGTTGTTGAACCATTTGCATCTTTAATGGGTATTAGAGCTTTAAACTGGAAGGGATCTGGGAGGCTGTAGAAGCAAAGCCTGTTTTAAATTGGTGCCTTTTTGCATCAGGTTTCAGTGTTGAACCTCTTAAAAGGTATGTATAAGGTCATTTCAAGAGCCCACCAACATACACTGAAATATTTTAGGGTACGAGCCCTACTGAAATGCAGGTGAGCTCCCATTTATATTAGAGGACCTATGCCAGTGAACATGCCACTGTATTATGCCTTTAGCATTCAGGTGAGTGAAAAACCAGAAACACTAACTTTCATAGTAGTGTTACAAATGGGAATGTATATACCAAGACTAATACGTAGAAGCTAAAGTTGAATAGTCAAGAGCTTTGAGAACACTGCTCACGCTTCTCTTTGAGAAATAGTGTCTTAAAAACCTCTGTTTACTTTAGCCTGTGGGGGCAGGTCGGGAGCCTGTGGGAGCAAATAGCCTGCTTCTTCTAGTAAGCAGACAGTAGTTTAGTTCCCACACACCACAATTTTTACAGTGAGAGACTGTTAATATTACAGGTTTATTGTATATTTTGCACTTGTTTGATTCCTAAAGTGCATCTGTATGTGTGTAATGAATCTCCAGTCATTGAATAGAATAAGAAACCATACAGCAGTTCAGTAAGATACTGTTTGTTCTCATGCCCTTTGCTGTATCTTGTGTGATGCTGTTTCTGTAAGAATTCCAATTTACCACATTGCTGTTTTATCTTGCTCTTTGAAGATTCAAAAATAATGAATGAGTATTCCTAACACCTATTAAAAGTTTGCAAGAGCTGTTCAAAACATTGAGGGTGATTGTGCTATCTGAGAGAGCAATTAATACCTTTGATTAATCAGATTAGGTCAAAACTTTTAACTCCACAATGCACAGTATAGCAAATAAAACTAATAAACTTTGTGTCATCTTGTGAAAACAGTTGCTACAAATACTATGAATCCTTGGTATTAGTACCAAATTCCAGCAAAAATACAGTGAGAAAGTTGGACTGGTAGGGCAAAAAGATTGATAGAAAGTGCAGTCCAGGTGATGAGCTGCTTTTGAAACCCTGGAATTCTCAAAACAGTTTCTGATGAGTTGTGAATGACTGCCTAAAAAGTCACAGAAGTCAAGGCTTAAAGAATTTTTTTAAATAGGTGCAGAAATTATGTTTAGTTCAAAATACTTTGGGACCTATAATACGTGCAATTTTCCTTGCTGCAAAAGGAAGCTTCTAATACAACCTTAGTACCTGAATAGCTTCACTTGGCTGGCCCATAAGTAGAGAGTGCAGCCATGAAGACCATCCCTACCATGTCCTATCATGCTGGGCAGGCAAGTAGGAGTGAAGCCATGACTTAGATTAGGCTAGTGATGTTGGCTTCTCCTTTGGAGTAAGGGAGAGGGGATTGTTTTACCCTGGCACTGTGGTAGGCATTCCATTGAACTGATTTGGGACCTTTTAGATGTTTGTGTTGAAGCTGTTACCCATATGTTTTAAAAACATTTTTGTGCTGTTTTTAAAAAGTCCACGATACTGCCAGTGTTTGCCACAGAGCTTATAATGGCAAAATGGATTTTGGCAGGATGGCCAATTTCAGCAAATGCTTAATAAGCACTCCTTACTCCCCAGCAAAACCCTACACATACAAATTGAATGCATAAACTATTCAATTTTAATTCCTAAATATAAACATTATTGGTCCACATACTTTATTACAGAAGTCACAATTTGAACTGTTAAGGTGATCAAAACTGTCTTGCTAAAGTAGAAGGCATGTGCATAGGCAAAGTTTTATGGTTGAGATGTAGCTCATGTTTGGCTTGTTCCTGCTGAAAAATAAAATAACATTTTAAGGATTTTGCAGGATCTCTGAATAGGTGTAAAAGTCTGTACAAAACTGGATCTTTTTTTCTTTTGCACAAAATTTTATTTAATTATTTAAAATTGTAATTGAAACTAGTCTGTTGGTATACGCTGTATAATGAAGGGATGTCTTAATTTGCAAACCAATAATTTGTCACCTTGTAGACAAAGTGTTTGTAGTCTGACTGCTGCAGTAAATTTAAGTTACTGCTGCTGTGTTATCTCTTTGCAAGGTTTCTGACTGAACTTATAAAATCACTTTTGCATTGTGACAAGTAGAGAGCCTACCAAGTTCATCTGCTGAGTTGCTAGATACTGCTCTTTTGCACATGCATAGTCTTCACAGAACAGTAATATTAAGGCCAGCTTCTCACTGAGATAGAAACCTGTATATGGCCTTTGTTGTCACTCTAGATCAACTTTCTCCAGCCTGTGCCCTCTAGATGTGTTGGACTACAACTTCCATTATCCTCAGTCAACATGGTCATGCTGGCTGGAGCTGATGGGGCTTGTAGCTCAACACATCTGGGAACTGCAGCTTGGGGACAGTCGTTTTAGGCTGCCAGTGTGGACAATTGAATGTATGTTGACTGGCCTCGAATATCCTATGTTGAATGAGTTCTTTTGTAAGAGGAACATTGTCATGTGGGCCCCACCTGCAGTCCAGCTCAGACACAGGTTTATCACCACAGTGAGAACTAAAGCAAAGGAGAGGAGAAAGTTATCACTCTCCCAACCCTTTGGAATGGTTGTCATACTACAAGGTCTGGTAGATTTTTTTACCAAGCAGAAAATTGTGAGATGAGCATGGCTACTTTCGTTGTTTGTAAACTGAAAACAGGTAGCTACATATAAAGAATAATTGTTCAGTCTTGCTATAACTCCCTTTGCAACATCAACTAACCTTAAAAAAATCTCAGACTGTTCTGTTTTAATGCCTTAAATTATTTTTAGAAGAAGTTGCTAAATTGTATACTTTACATGTATCATTTGATATATTTCATAGTGCATGGAAATAATGTATAAAAGCTTAACTAATAGCTGTCTGAACAATCAGATTGTTTTCCCCCCACTTAACTGTTGAAATAAGCATTGTTTTTGTTCTCACTCTATAGGACATTATTTTAAAGGATAAACCAGTTGAAATTTGGATTTGCCCTCTTGTAACATTTTTCACATGATGTTTGCTGTTCGTGCTTTCTGAGGAAGTGTACAAAAATCCATGGAAATGTGAATAAACGATTGGGAGATGTTAACTGTTGTTTGTGTGTGCTTGTATTGCACCTGCCTTTATGTGGATGTGAAGAGGATTGTAAGAGTAAACTGGTAAAAGGGTCATAGTGTACTTAGCATCTGCTTGCACCTTTAATCCACAGCATTATCATAAATAAGGATCATGAGTAGCAGAGCTTCTGAGACCTTACAGAGTAGTTGCCAGTCATGGTGGTTAGTGTAGGCCTACAAGTGATGTGTGCCTTGAGAGGGACCAGGTGTTAGTCCTACCTGGGGAAAGGTGGCAGACTTGCTCAACAGAAAAGCCACATACAGTAAATGTCAGGTGTTTGAGCCACAAGGGGGCACCCACAGGCAGCAACAAATGATGAGCTGGAAAACAAGCCTTGGTTTGACCAGCCCTGGCCTAGAAGAACACCTGGTGAAAGTCCCAACTATCTACTTTTACAGAAGATCCTTCAGAAAACTCAGAGGTGACATTACCTGTTGGGGAGTGGGAAAGGAGAGAGGGTGAAGGCTGTAAGTGTAAGTTGTTGATCTTGCAAGACCCTTTTGAGGCAAATGTAGTTTTTAGAGAAGCTGGATCACATTGCTGTGAATATGAGGGATAAAAAAGGAGCTGTAAAACTACTGGCAGTACAGTTTACTTAACAGATCTTTAAAAGTTGTTAATGCTTCTGAAAAAGACTTGCTAGTTTAACATGCCTTTTAACCACAGTTCACAGTGGAGATCCACTGTATTGTAGATGAAAGTTAGCTACAATACACAGGAGTATTTGACCAGGGATGTGTGTGTATTTTTAAGTGTAGAGTTCAGCCCGGTATGCAAAGGCTGGAAAAGTTCTGCATTCATTTAAGAATATTTGGTTGCTTTTTAAACTATGAAGAGGCTGTAAAGGAAATATCAGACATTTGGGGTTAAATTGCTCAGCAGCTCACATTCTCATGGGGTTGTAGTGTATCTAGAGAAGACCAGGTTGTTTAAGTCTATGTAGCATTCCATCTGAGGGTTCTCGTTGCATATTTGCCTAGCTGGCAACTTGACAGATGTTGGCAACTCCTATCGGCCCTAGTTGCCATGGCTCAAGGTCAGGGATGGTAGGAGTTTCATTCCAAAGATCTGGGAGGCACAAGACTGAAGAAGATTGTGCTATGATTAGCAGAAGCAAAATAAGTTATGCAAGTTGTGAGGGGAGGCACAGCAATTTAATTTGAGTAGTTGCATGTAAACTTCAAAATTCAGCATTTATTTGTGAAGTCAGGGTGAATAAAAAAATCAGTAAGTATCTTGGCAGTTGACGTATTCTAACAGGAACTAAGCAATAGCACCAAACTGCTTGCACAATGATGTTTAAAGACACTTCCTTCTGTTTGCAGAAAGGGAATGTTGGATTAAATAATCCTCGATACCAGTTGTTCAGGTACTTTCCACCCAAGATTTCCAGACCCCTTGCAAGAACCAGGCGGCTTTGGCAAAGCCCACCCATGGGATTCAGGGGATTGAATAGATGGGAAAGTTAAATTGTTCTGTCTAAGCACACACTATAGTCAGATACCCTCCACCTATGGTTTTGAACTCTTCTAAATTAATGTGTTTGAAGTGAGCTTGCCTTCATATTCACCATAGTCCCTATAATAAGCATTCTGGTCAATGGAAGCAGCTGCCACTCAAGAAATTGCTTCTTGTAGGGCACTCCTGCACTTTCTCATTTATGAGTTTGTGGGGCGGGGTGGTGATGGGGGGGGGGTCTTAAAAGCGACATCAGCACTCCTAGAGCTTTGGCTGTACACAGTAGCTAAAGTATTACTTGTTCTCATCGTTTGGACAACCCCTCTCTACCCCAAAACAAACAAGCTTTGCTTTGGAAGATTAGCTATATAAGAAACAAAAGTTGAAAAGAGGCATGTAAAACTAGAATTCTTTGGCTCCAGGGTTTCAGTAACTTTAAATGCCGTAGTATTTATTGTGTATAAATATATACCAAGAGAACGGCACTCAAAGTGATGAAATACTGCTTGGTATTTGATGAATCAAGATGTTTAATGTCTTCTAAATGTCATGGTACAGCTGATGTATGCTAATTGATGGCAGCAGAAATTGCTTTCCATGGTCCATTTCCTAACTTCAAAAAATACACACAAGGTAAAATTTGAGAAATGAACTGATTTCTGAATGATTTTTCAGATAAACTAGTATGTGCACATGCACAGCACATAAAACGTTTAGGAAACATTTACTGGAAGTAGAATCTTCTATTTATTAATCATATGTAAGATTTGTGTTATTCTCATGTACAAAAATTTCCAGTTGCAATTTTCTTGCTCAGTGGTTGCAGCTACATAGCTGTAAGAAATTCATTGAACTACAAAGCTGAAAGACCCATGCAATGTATCCACTTATATATTAAACACACACAGGTATGTGTAGCATAAGGACCACAGTGTTTCTGTTTGTCTCTTGATCTTGACGTTTCAGTATTATTACATTCTGATCTAGAAAACGATTAAAGGCTTTGGGTACAGGCAGCTTCACTGTGTTGTATATTTCCAGCTACTACTGTACATATTAGCATACTGCTGTCACAAGTACAGTAAATTCAAAGGTGGATGAGCAACTAATGGGTAACTGATTTCCATTAGTATGGGCAACTAATTTCTTGGACAAGCTTTATACAAAGAATAGTCTGGAAAACAGCACCATACATCATCTCAACAGGTATAATGCACACTACTGGGGCAAAGAAACCCTGTTTGCTGAATACAACTCAAGTATAAAACAATGCAGTTATACTTTTGTGGTGAGTGCAGTGGGGAAGCAGGTTGTATGTCTTAAATTTACATCATACCTTCAGAAATGGTGCTCAAGGTTTCACAACCATGACACATTTGAATTAACTGCAGGCATTCTGAAAAATATTTTTGATAGCATTCCATTGCTTTATAAAGCAGCTGCTAGCTGCTTCTGTAGAACAGTTTCCCAAGTCAGATACACATTGAACATGTATTCTAGAAGTTGCATCAATTAGCGGAGCAGTCTTATACACTGGAGGGGTTCTAATCCTTTGACAGAACACAAGAGGGTGGCTGCCAAAGGTTCCAGTTTCAATCCCAGACGTCTACAGGTAGGTTAAAAAAGACTCCTACCCTTGCCAGTCAGTGTCAACAATATTGGGCTAAATGGACCAAGGGTCTGATTCAGTATAAGGGCACCATCCCATCCTTACTCAGAGGCAAACTTCACTGTATTCAGTGGGGCTTTATGCATTATGACTGCAACAAGAAAGTACAAGAACAACAGGTTAACTTTTTAAAAAGAAAAGCTGTAAGATCTTTATTTCTAGGCTATCATTTACTGAAGTTGCATGACTCAGAACTCCATCACAGATGACAAGCCACTGTGGTTGCCATTTTGTGTGAATCTAGAACAAATCCCATACAGTGGCTTGCCTTAGGCCAATATGGCTTATTCTTAAGCTTGGTGAACCCATTATGGGTTATGTTGTCTAAGACTAGGCAACTACCTTTCCTTTTTTCCAGAGATCAGTTGGCAGCCAGTGACAGCAGCTCTGAGTAACCCAAGTGACTCCTTCTGTGAGGTTTTTACCAGTTCACCACACTTTAATCTTTTCTGTGGAAGAAATCCAGGATGGTATAGAAAATAAAATAAAAATGGGCTTGCATACTTATTTGTTGCTGTGGGGGGGGGGGGGGTCCAAAATGGGAAACTTTGCCTTGGTAATGTCCTTGGAGGTGCCTGCTGACCAGGCTGTTGCCTCAGAGAAGCTACATTGCAAATGCTCAAGCAGAAGCAAAGCTGGGAAAGATCTTCACTTGCAAGAGGGAGCAGTGGGAATATCACCCCTTTACAGCTAGTTTTCTCTAGTTTTAAAGGGATTTTTGGCTGGACCTAACTCTTTTCAGTGACCTCACACTGTTCAGTGTTTTCAGAAATTCTCAGTGCTTGGGAAAGTGCAAGCCACCCCCATTTAGGGGAGGATGGAGTTTTGCCAGCTGGCTGTCAAAGCTCAGGACATACCTATCAGAAATCACACTTTAAAAGGAAGCCTAACCTTTGACTTAGGCTCAAAGGCTTGTGCTTCTGTAAATTGCAGTGCACCTAGACTCTACTAAGCTGTACCTACATCCTTGGACTTTGGAATTAGTCTGATTGACAATAAAACCATCAAAGTCACATGTGTGTGCCACATGGTTTTGCATCAAAGGACAAGCGCCCACTATCAATTATCTAATGGACTAAGGACCTTACTTCCCTTTCTGTCTTTAAACATGCAACCTATCATTGGCAATGCTTGACGGTGAACAGGTACCTGGAGATCTGGATTGCTTGCCTAGCTTTGTATGAGTGCAGGTTTCTTCTTTGCCACTTCAATCCTTACCGATATTTAATAGGAGCTTTTTGTATACCTCCTTCTCCCCCCTCCCCCCCCCCACTCCCGGTACACTCTGCTATTTATTGTTGAAGGAATGAAAAGCACCCTATAAATGAACATTAAAAGCTGCTGCTGGGGTGACATGCCTGTGCAGAAGCAAGTGCAGAAGCATGTCTCCACTTAGTGTCACAGAGGGAGGTGAAGAGCATGCTCTTGCAGAGGGACAATGGAGCAGCTTTCTTTCAGGAATTTCCAGAATATCTTCTGTGTTTACATTAACCACCAACACTGAGCTGATACAGGAGAGGAGACTGCTCTCCTTTTGGGAGGCAGGGGAGGATCAGAAACAGAGGAAACCAAAGGGGGACTTTTTAATCATACAGAACTAAAATATCTTTGTTGGAAAAGAGAGGGAAGGAGAGAAGCGTTCACTGCCAAGTTTATTTTTCACCTTACAAGCAAAGCACAGTTTAAGAGCTGTTCCTGTGTCACTTCCAGGCAGCTCAAGGGAAACCTGGGCTCCCACATCTGCTGTCGAACCCAATCTGTCTCAAGCAGAGTGAAACTGGTTTCCACAGTAAGCTGGGAACACTCTTTAAAAACTCCAGCTTTTCTACCATTTCTTCTGCTTTGTCTCCATACACCCACCTAGACTGCGGGTAGATTTTTGATCATTCTGCTTGCCTAAGGAACATCTAGAGTCGTACAATGATCAGCTTGCCTTCCCATCTTGAGAACTTGAGCTTCACCCTAAGCAGTGGAGCTGCCAGTGCCTTTTGCAAGGCATCCAATGACACAGAGGGCTACAAGGACTACAGCAACCAAATCAGTTGCACCAGGAAATGCTAGAAATGCAAACTGGTCTGAGATTGCTTGGGTACTTGAGCATGTGTTCAGAGGACCCATTCCTTAATGTTGAATGTATGTTTGGCCTATAGTAACTACATTGCTAGTTTGCAACTGGCTCTGGTTACTGGATTTCAGAAAAAAAGAGTGCAGTGGCTAGAATATTTACCTATGTAAAAAACTAGTTCCTAACATTGCATAAACAATAAGCTGGTGCAGTCAAGATGTATATTGCCTATCACCCAAACACTGGGGACTGCTAAGCCAGATTTTGCTATTGCACTGCATAAGGGAGAGGAAGATAGGCCCAACCCAAAATAGCTCTGAAGGAAAGGACCATCACCTACTGTACGCTTGCACACTGGCATTTGGATCCAGGACCAAATTTTGCCTTCCACAAGAGGAAGGGATTCCCCACAGTTCACCTTCAACAAAGTCTACTGACTCTGCAGGTGGCTGGAAGAGCTGCCCTTGGGTTAAAGAAGTCCACTTTGGCCAGTACAGTTGACTCAACTTGCACATGCAATTACAAATATATACCTAAATTACATCAGCCCAGCACTTCTTCTAAAACAAGGCTAAAACTGGTCTGGTCTAAGGTAACCAATTAACTGATTTTTGAGGTAAAGGAACCTCAAATTTAAAAATGTGATTCACACAAGGCCTGCCTTGAGTAAGATGTTTTTTAATGCAAGAACAACCTGTTCATGATAATTGAGAATCAAACATTTCTGATCAATTACAAGTCACCCAATTTTCTACTGGTACAGTCTGTGTGCCATTTTGCCTCTTTGCTCAAGTGAGGACAAGGAACTGATCTCCAGCTGCAGCTAGGCTCAAGAGGAACTGAGGGAAGCACTCGAGAACAGGTTTATCCCCTAATCCACATACAGAGCCTCCCAAAGGAACTGTTCACCTTACAAAAATATATATAAAAAAAGGATTGCACTTGCAGAAAAGCCTGTGCAAGCAGGCAAAAACTTGCCTCCAAAACCCAGCACTGGGTAGCCCAGTCCACAAGGACACACATTTCTCAGAATGCAACATACAGTAGGATGCTGGGGGCCTTCCACATTCAAGCCTTCCACCTATGCACCATCATCAGATGAACATGCATTGTGCAAAGCAAAATGTTGTGTCCCACATTAAGAGGTACGTTCAGAAAGGCACAGCATCATGGAGCAACAGCAACCTGCTGATGAACAAGAGACCTTTTCCTTCAAAAGCAACCTTTACTCAAAGGGGATTGTTGTAAAGCTCCCAAACCATAAACTGCTTATACAAGAAAGTACCTAGCACTCCCCATTAACTCATGTGAACACAGATTTCCCCCTCCCCACACCCCAAGTTATTAATCTACACTTTACGGAGGAGGGCTTCCAAGATCTTCCTGCTAATTTCAGAGAAAACCCACTAACCCTCTGAAGAATGCCAAGGTATACCAGAGCCCAGCTGGAACACGTGCCTGTCTGAAAGCAGAACATAGCTGTAGGCTGGAACAATTCAGAAATACCATTATATTTCTACCTATTTTTAGTATCAAGCTTTTCACACAGTTTACATTTCAACTACATATAGCATTCCTGAGGTAACAGCCCCCCCCAAAAAACCCCTCAAAACCTAGTCAAAGATGGTCAAGCTACCAAACTCCACTAGAATATATTGTAACATGTATTAACTGTGGCATATCAAACCACAAAATTCATAAAATTTAAATTGTTGCATTTAGCAGTGACAATCTCTTCCCAATGCAGGGAACAATAGATGGCAAAAGGAGGGGGTGGCAAAGGATGAGGTGGCTTGATAGGGTCACTGAAGCAGTTGGCATGAGCTTAAGTGGACTCCGGGGGATGGTAGAGGACAGGAAGGTCTGGAGGAATGTTGTCCATGGGGTTGCGATGGGTTAGACACGAGTTTGCAACTAGCAATAACCATCTCTTCCCTGTTGAACCTTGAAGTGACTGAAATGAAAAGGAGCTTATAATGAAAAATGGCAATGCATTGCTCACCAAAAAATTACGAGCCTAAAAAGGTACATAAGTTAATCCATCTCTCATCAATATAATAAAGAACTCTAATACAATGATTAAGAATTTCATCAAGAATTCTTGAGAAGCCTGCCTCCCCTCCACGTGATCAGGAGCACCTTCCTTGAGGCCAAGAGGCTTCCCCCAAGGATGGCTTTGTGGGAGCTGACCCAGGAGCAGGTCCCACTGAATAGGGTGCAGGGTTCTCACCTCTTTGGAAAGGACATAGGATTGCACTGCATGCCAGTCATATTCTTACCATGCATTTTAACTTACTAAAGAGCAATGACGAAGGGCAAGGAAAGGTACAGGGCAGTGGCACAGAAGTGAAACACAGATAAATTGACATCCAGAGGTCAATTACAGCAGCAGCTCTTTGCTATTTTTATGTAGTTTGTCCATTAAAAATAAGAGATACTTATGGGGCCTACCCCTGCTTTGTAGTAGGAAGTTAATATGTTTATAGCAAGTTTTGTCAACCAGTTGCTGTTTTGCTTGCAGCTTTCCATATTAAAGCAGCATCACTTTCAGGAGCTAAGCTACACAATGGTCTAATTTGGGTTGTACCTTTTAAGATAGCAGGTAGAGAACTGGATGCCTGAATACTTCCCCTCCCCATAAATGGCCCAGCACATACTGAATGGCTTCTAGTCTTCTGTCCTGCATGCAGGCTTTTGGATGTACAGGGAAGATGAATTTTTTCCTTAACATGATTGAAGTCAAAGACTTGGTCCTCTACCCACAGTAGTCCACTCTAGGAACAGTTATATCTGAGGCTGCTTTTCAAATAGCTCCCGCCTCACCTCTGATTAGTGTAGGAATGGGATCAAAAATGGTTGTTGTGTTTTAATATTAAGATTTTTTGCATGTTTGAACACAGCAGAAAGATTCCACAATGGCCATCCAATTATGCCTTTCAGGATAGAGAAAAAGCTACCATAATCCGTTATATAGACATGTCTGAAGAAATCAAGTTGCATGATAGACTGAACTACTTCCTGCTATTAGTAAAGTTACAACAAAGAGTAGTCATGGAAAGACTGTCATTTGTGTGCCAGTAATCTCAGTACAGAGAGCAGGTTCAAGGATTTGAGTGGCACTTATGTTCCTGACCCCTGTAACGTTGTCTCTGCCAAAAGATAAAATTTAAGTTACTACCTTGCTGCATTTGCTCTAGAAAAGAAACCAACCTCTTCTGGATTGTTATTTTCAATGAGCAGGATACCTGCACCTCCAAACACACATAATTTTGTTACCACCTTGCCCACCAACCTGATTTGTTTGATTAGGTTCTTGCAATGATATAGCATTAAAAAGTATGACAGTGGTGAAGAGTGAACAGGCTTTGATGCAAGAATCATGTCAAGAACTTGTGTCTGAACAAGCTAAATTTCAGGATGAAACTGGGTGCTGCCTAAATGAAAAGGAAAACTTCAGAGGGGGCTTTGCCTGCAGTGACATCCAGGCTTACCCTGCATTACAACATCCATGACACGCATACACAGCAAGAAACATGACATTAGATCAGTTACCATTCTCAGCCCTCTGCTTGTAAGTTAGCCAAGCTGCCTACTACTTCCTTCTAAAGTAGCACATACAGAGTAGTATGTAAATACTACTCTGTAGTACGTCTTTACAAAGTTATAAAGACAATCACAAACATCTAAAAGAAAGTTGCAAAGCTGTTCTGAGGATGTGGAAGATCTGTGACATTACTGTGACCAACTCTAGACTTTTCAGATCAAATCTGAAGAATCTTCTTTTGCTTGAAATAGCTCAGCTAAGAATAGTACATGTGCACAAAGAGCAGTGAAACTACCTCTGCTACACATAAGATGGTATTTTCTGTGCATCTTATTATACAGCAGACTTGATCAAAACTCAGCCAACAAATATCAAATCTCTCTACCATCCATGATTTTTGAATAATTCTCAGTTTTTTTGTTTTTTTTTTTTTTGAGAACTTAAAATAACAATTAGGCTTCTCTGTATCAAAGCACAGCAGCACCAATACAACAAAAACTTAAACTGATCAATGTGGCCATTTATCAAGTACTGAATAAAAGTTTAAAGATATTTAGGAGCTACTTCAATTAGCTCCAATTACCAACAATTCAGGATACTGTATCTGGCTGAAATCCACTAGCATTTTTGGTATTAGAGTCTTACGGTCATATTTTCCCGCTTTTCTGCTGCAGACTTGCTATTAGAGACAGGTTTACTTGCCAGACTGGGGCCAGGCAAGTACATCTCTTCAGTGTTCATCTCAAACCTTCAGATATTTTTGGCTGGGCTTTTTGCTGATCTTTGGTAGATGAAAAAGATGTCTGGAATCAGTTTGTGCTGCAAGCCCTAGGAGAATACCATTTGACAGAAGGGGAAAAACCAAGCCATCTAGTTCCAGTTGGACTACTAGATGTAGCCAGCAGGCACTCAGTCCAAGTCCCTAGTTTCCCTTGACTATTTTGCTGTCCTATCAAGTTTAAAACACAGACACAAAGTTGTTTTATTATACCACAAGGAGGGTTCTCAACAGTCTATGAAACAATATTCATTTGTACATCAGTATGAAATCCTATGGACATTTCTCATAAAGTATATAAAGATTAATACATTCTGTACAGGTTGGTTTCCATTTACAAAGTGAACACTGTAACAAATTGTTCATAAAGCATTGATTTTAAACACAGCCCCTACTTTTGCAGTGGTAGTTTTTCTCCTTTTAATTCATTGGAATTCTCCTGCCAGTCATACCTATAAAGAGACGTAGTTGTTTTCCATTTCTTTTTAAAGTGAGCATAAGTATTACAGCAAAGGAGGGAGGGAGGGAGGGAGGGAGAGGCACTTCTTGTTTGGCTGGCTGGTAATTCCTAGACATCCCTTTTTCAGTGTAATGCTAAGTTCCTGACGCTAGATGGTGGTGCTGTAACAGAAGACCACTGTAGTCAGTCTTTTAGGCACTTGGCTGCAAGGTTTCCAAGGCAGTGCCCAGTTCTCTGCTATGTCATCAGAATCGGTTTCTGCCGCACCTCCAGAATATCTGAGCAAATAAAAAAAGAAAGGATGACAAGGCGGGTGGAGAGGATTCCGAGCCACACTTCCTTTTGCTATCTACAATATGAAATATTCTCTATAACACACAAAGGCACTCATGTTCTTCCCATTTGCAGAGGCACTGACATTATTATGACACCTCCATGTGAACTAGAGTCTAGAAACTGGATCCAAGTCTAATTACTAAGAAAGCCTGAAAGGAAACATTGAAAGCCTGAAAGGGAATATTGGTACACATTCTCTCTCTCTCTCTCTCTCTCTCGGGGGGGGGGGGAGCGGAAGAGGTGTGTGGGGAGGGAATTGGCTGAAACTGATGTTTAAATCCATCTCTCCCCAGGTGTGGTGGTCCCAATCCATAGAGGGCCCCCTGAATGCATGCACATACATAAAGAAAAGTAGCAGAACAGGCAGGGAATGTATTTAATGTAATGTGCATTTGCTCCTTAGCCTAGATCTGATTCAGCAAGGTTACATTTCAACACAGACCAGAGACAGCTACACAAGTTCCTTTCTTCAGTTCAGGATCTGAAGCATGAGGGGGGAAACTTCCATAAGCCATCGAAATGTGCCTAGGCATGCAGAAGGCAAGCTGAATTTTCTAGCATTACATAAGTGAACTTATCTAGCACCTAAACCACTGCTATACTGACCCAGGACCCAGACAAACTCAATTTTAGGCTGGGGCAAATATTTTTTTCTTATTTATTTATTTTTCTATTTATATTCTGCCTTTTTCCTACAACCCTGTGAGGTAGGTTGGGCTGAGAGTCTGTGACTGGCCCAAAGTCACTCAGTTGGCTCCATGGCTGAGCGGGGACTCGAACCCAGATCGTCTGAGTCCCAGTCCTATGCTCTTAACCACTATACCACACTGGATATGCAGATGATACCACTCTAATGGCAGAAAGTGAAGAGGAACTAAGGAGCCTCTTGACACGGGTGAAAGAGGAGAGCATAAAAGTTGGCTTGAAACTTAACATTAATTAAACTAAGATCATGGGATCCAGTCCTATCACTTCCTGGCAAGTAGATGGGGGAGAAATGGAGGTAGTGACAGATTTTATTTTCCTGGGCTCCAAGATCACCACAGGCGGGGACTGCAGCCAAGAAATTAAAAGACATTTGATCATTGGGAGGGAAAGCTATGGGAAATCTAGACAGCATACTAAAAAGCAGAGACAGCACCCTGCCGACAAAATGCGTATAGTCAAGGCTATGATTTTCCCAGTTGCAATGTATGGCTGTGAAAGCTGGACCATAAGGAAGGCTGAGCTCCAAGGAATTGAGGCCTTTGAATTGTGGTGCTAGAGAAGACTCCTGCGAGTCCCTTGGACTGCAAAGAGATCAAACCAGTCAATCTTAAAGGAAATCAACCCTGACTGCTCTTTAGAAGGCCAGATACTGCAGATGAAACTCAAATATTTTGGCCACCTAATGAGAAGGAAAGACTCCCTGGAGAAGAGCCTAATGCTGGGAACAATAGATGCCAAAAGAAGAAGGGGACGGCAGAGGATGAGGTGGCTAGATGGAGTCTCTGAAGCAGTCAATGTGAGCTTACGTGGACTCAGGGGGATGGTGGACAGGGAGGCCTGGAGGAATGTTGTCCATGGGGTCACGATGGGTTGGACACAACTTCATGACTAGCAACAATAACAACAATTTTCTAATACAGTTTTAAATTTGTTTTTAAATTTTGTATGGCAAGCTTTTTAATGTTGTTTTAATATGGTGCATTTTAATTTTTAATCTGCTCTTGTAAACCACCCAGAGAACCTTGACTGTTGGATGGTATATAAATTAAATAAATAATATAAATAATAATACTACAGATCTTATATGCTTGACTTAAAAATGTGCTGTTATGTAAGAAATTTTCACTGTGGGTGACAGACATATGAAAGGTGAAACACATTTCATCTCCTTTCCAGTGGTTAACCAGCAGGAACACACAAATGGAGCCTCAATACTGCATGTTGTATGCTACTACCAGACTTAGGAATTTTGGTACCCAGCCACATGCAATGCGGTGCAATGCCAACTTTGATGTTAAAACTGCACTTGAACAAATGCACAGAACACAGCAGTCTGTTTGTCATGCCCTGTCACTGGAAAAGATAACTTTTATTGCTCATCCTTGCCTGACCAGGAATCTTCTGTGATGCTGGCCCCATCAGAGGCCTTACCAAAGCCCTGCAGAAGAGGCCAGCATTTATGTCAATGATTTATGTCCTGGTGAGCTCCAGGTTTCTCTAACACAAAAGCAGATGAGGCCTCACCTGTTAAGATTCGATGCAATGGCAACGTGACATAAGTTAAGTGTGCATAGAGTAGAAAGTTTTCATCTGTTCTGTTGAGCTTCAGCCATGAGCCCACAAGAGACCTTCCTGTTCCAGATAAAGACCGGGACCGTAGGTTTGTTGCATTGTGCAGATCTGTCAAGAGCAGAACAAGGTTGCAGGAAGGGAATAAAATATTACTACCTACGCGGTTATCCCCCAAGGAACAAGGATCACACCGCAAGACCCTTTTCGTGCAGCACTGTATTTCCCAGTAGTAGCTGAAAGCTGGAAGCTCACAAGCAGGATGGGCAATCACAAGAAGGGGGTGATAACCACCACTTTGAATTCTGCCTGGAAACACACTAGTAGCCAGTGAAGCTGCTTGAAACAAGGAAATCTCATGCTGCTTGTAACTGTCACCAGTTCACAGTCTGTCCACAGCCTTTTGAGCCATGTCAAAGGCAACTCCACATACAGTGCATTGCAGTCATCTGAATGGAATGTCACTATGGCCTGGGTGACTGCAGCCACATCAAATATCTCACTTCAGTTTTTGCCACTTTAAAAACTTTGCAAGAAGAAAAAGTGCACCAGGGAGACAAAAGCCCTTTCCCTGCTGTGCTAAGGGACATAAACATGAGGAAGCATTTAAAAACACAGTGTCCTGTCTAGCTGCAGTCTGAAATGGTAAAAGTTCATTTGGCCACATTTGTGGCTCCATCCCCAGAATATCTATTGTCCAATCCTTCTAATCACTTAAGAAGTAACCTGCCTTAATATGGTAATATTTTCCTCAACACTTTTAAGACATGCTGCAGTCTGGCATCATATGGAAGCTCCTGGAGGCAACAGTACATAATGTAGATTCAGGGGTCAAAGTGCTGCCTTGATGCTAAGCAAGTGTATCGAAATGTAGTCTGCAAACTCCTGCTTTGTGCAGCACACCTATTCCCAGTGTAACTACCACCTCATTCCCTCACTGCTGATTTTTCCGCATCACAGAGATGGACTGAGAGAATGCAAGCCTGATTAAGTCACACTGATGCCCAGTGGTCCCAGCCATCCCTTCCAGTCAAATTCTCACCTCCATCCTCATCATCTCTAAAGAACTCCTCACTGTCATTGGCAGAGTGGGATTTCTTCATTTCAGCGATTCGATTCCGGGGCACTTTCCTCTTGAGGGATGGAGAGAAAAAAGAAGGGCGGTTGTTGCGTTCTGGAGTTGGAGGAGTGCTGAAGGAAGTGACCTAAAGGGAAAAACATAGCAATGACTTATAAAGAAACACTAAGAGGTTTCTATCAATTCTCTGGTTTTGACTGATACTGCATTCTATTGTGAATATCATGCCATGTCCAACAAGCAGAAAAATTACTGCTTGTTCGGAATATAATTTTTAAATATTCATATTTTCATCCCTTCCCTGAACAAATGAACTTCCATGTATGGAAACTAACACATTAGCTGACAAATTAACACATGTTAGGGGGCAATCCAATGGGGATCCGGCAAGCCTCCAAACTCAAAGGACTATGGGCATCCAACACAAACTTTGCCCCCACACGCCTCCTGTCCTGCTAATAATTCAGACGGGCCCTTTTGATGATCTAGCAGCAGTGCCTCAGATAGGAAGGGGAGGAAGCTGGACGGTCACCATGATGTGCCATCCCCTGAAGTACCTGTTCTCCTGTAAGGCCCTCTTAAGCCCTCCAAAGTCCATCTTATGATCTAGGACAGTCTTTCCCAGCCTTCTGTCTTCCACACATGTTTGGACCGTAGAACCCAGAATTCCCAGTCAATGGCCCTACTGGATGGGAATTCTGGGAGTTGCAGTCCAAATGCATCTGAAAGCCACCAGGCTGGGAAAGGCTGATGTAGGAAAAGCAGCTGATGCAATTCTTCCTATACTGGTTTCAGGCAAGAGTGAAGGGATATTTGAATGCAGATCCCCAGCTCTGAGTTCCAAATATTTTCTGAATGATCAGAATTTGAATGATCTTTTGGTCCTCTAGATGCCATCTAGGGGACCACAGGATCACTCTGCCCTCCAGTATTAAATATTTTAATGCACAGTTGGCCACCTGGAAATCTAGGAGCTGTATCTGGCCCCACAAACAATTTTATCTGACTCCCAAGAACTCTATCCATGGGGGTTACATTTCTGTTGATAGTTTCATTTAAAAGGATAAAATAATTTATATGTATATTTATAAGAGATAGTTATTCCTCTCTGTAATGTAACAGTGTTAGCTTGTTTGTGCTCTGGTCATGCTCACACCTCAGAGTGATCCCCAGGTGTGATTTATACTCTACTTACTCTCTCATGCAGAGGTGAGCCTGGGTTTGAATCCTCCTCTGTACCATATGGAGAAGTGTCACCTGTTGAAATGCGACTCACTGCCATTTCTGCATGTCCTTTTCCCTGTGGTCCCTTCATTCGCACAAACTCCATATTATTGTATTTGTAAAAGCCAAAAGACATCCTTTGTGCCATTTTTGCAGCAACACTTACCTAGAACAAACAATAAAAGTTTATGTGATGTACAATGTCAACACTCATTATCAGGACCTATTTCAATCCTTGGAGAAAGAACGGAATATAAATGCCTGTAATAATACTTAAATAAACTTCCACTCTGCTCTTAACATTGAAATTATCTTAGACAGGAATGCAGCCCTTCTGATCTTCTACACATCTCATCAGCTTTTGTTGCTATCAACTATTATACTAAAGCCTTTATGGCTTTAGAGGCATCACAACCAGTTTAAGAAAGTGATGTATGAGATCAGCTCAGTGTTATGACATTTATGCTACAGAGTTCCACAAATTTCTGTTGTGTTTTCTGTAACATTTGCATGACAAATGTCTAGTTTAGGTCACCACACCAACTGTAGCCTTCTCTGCACAGACATACCCTTTTGCTGCCATTAATTATGTTCTGGTATTGTCCAATTTAGATCTTTCTGAAGACCACTTGAAAACTTCCACTGGATCAGAATACAGCAGCTACACAGTTAACCAGGGCTCACCTTGGACATACTTTGTCAGTATTAAAAGCTCTTTACAATATGGAAACCATTATCAACTGGCTGTCTTAGCAGTAATTGTATATCACTTACGTTCACCTGCATATATATGTATGTGGAGAAATATATTAAAATATTCCCCATTCAGTATTTCTCCAGACTAGTTTATGTTGTATAATAGTCATAAAATAAAATTATTATATGCATATTAAGTCAGTAGCATAACAACATTGTAACTTACTCCCACGATGTTTCTAGATGCAGTCCAATGTGCAAGTTTTAAACTATGAAACTCAAGCCTGCAAAATCATTAAGACCATCTTTGGTGGCTCTGGTCCAGGAGTCTACCCTCTAGCACAGGGGTCCCCAGCCTGTTAGGAACTGGGCTGCACAGCAGGAGGTGAGCAGCGGGTGAGTGAGTGGCACTTCATCTGTATTTGCAGCTACTCCCCAGCGCTAGCATCACCACTGGGGAGCAGATGCAAATACAGACTATCATTAGGGCCTTTTTGGGTCTTGGGCCTCGAAAGGAGGAAGGGGAGGCAGTGGCAGCACCAGGCAGCAAGTGGTGCAGGGCATGTGTGAGTGGTGGGAGAACCAGGAAGCAGGTAAGGGCTGGGCTGCAATTCATTACATATTAGAATGCAATAATAATAGAAATAGTGGGTAGGATTGAGAAGGTTTTGCCTCTTCTGCAAGAGTTCATGATTCCTCTGAACACCTTGCCTTCTAAGAACCAGGGATTTGAAAGAAAGCGATGTGTGGGAACCCTCTCCTCCCACAGCCGCTTCTCTTCCAGTCTGTTTCTGATATGAGAAGTGAGTCAGACTGGGGAGAAAAGTGCCTGCAGTGATGGAACATGACAAGAAAAGCAAGGAAGTCTAAGAAAGGAAGAGGTCCCCATAGTTGTATACTCCCCCACTTTTTTTTTTGCAGAAAGCAGTGATGTGTTCTTTACTCCAAGTCTCAAGACTTTCAAGTCCAAGTCAACTCTCAAGTTATTGCAAGAAATTTTCGAGTCAAGTCTCTTCTCAAGTTTCAAGAACCAACCCCCTGCCCCTCTCACAACCCCCTCCTCCCTATCCTGCACTTCCCCTGAAAATCCCTCCCACTGCCTCCCTTGTGCCAAAAATAAATGCTGAATCTTTCCTTTCCCCCATCACAACCTCCTCCACTGCCCCCCTCCCCCGAAACTCCCTCCCTCCCTCCCTCCCTCCCACTACCTCTGCTGTGTTTGTGTCTGCCTTCCAGGATATCCTGCCACACAATAAGCCCTGGAGCGACTTGGTCATAAAAATGTAGAAATATCACGTTGAGTCACTCTCTCATTGCTCCCAAGTCAAATCCGAGTTGAGTTGCTGACACAGCTTAAGTTGGACTTGGGAGAGAGTTGCTTGACTTGAGTCTCCAGCCTGGACAGAAAGTACCAGCTATGAAGCAGACATGTTAACAACAAGGGTGGTTGTTTTCTATCAAATTTAGTTCAGACCAGAGACATCAACACAGGAAAGTAACCATCAGCAAAATAACCCTTACCCTATTGTCATAGACCTTCTTGAGAGCTTCATAGCGGATAGATCCTTGGAAGATAACTCCTTGGAAAGTGTTACTTTTATCACTGGCCACCAGCTCCACACAAACCATCTCACCTTCTCCTACAGTCATATCACTGAATACCTAACATGACAATCAAAGAAACAAATAATAAGGGAAATAAAATGAAAACATTAGTTGCAGATAACCTAAACCTCATCTGCCACTACCTATTATAAGGCAAAGATAAATATGAACCAAGTCTTCAAGGTACATAGCACAGGATTTTTGTTATAGAAAAGTAAACTCCCAGTTGGGCTGGAAGCACTGAAACCTTTAACCGTTTAAATCACTATATAGAGAGGAAGAAAAACAATTTCAAATGATCATAATTAGTATTGGGAATGAAAAAGAAACTTAAAATCTATTGAACAATAGCTCTCCAAATACTTAATAGAACATATCATATATCAGAATGTTGATATGCAGTTTATTTAACCAGGTTTATTTAGCAATTTCTTTTCTCTAAGACTTTTGGCTTGCTTTCCAGCATTTTGCATGTGCTAAATTTGGAATGATTAAAATATACATGAGATTATATAGGATGAAAGTAGATAGATCAAGCCCTGATGGGAAACCACTAGAATTCCTAGGTGAGCTACTCCAAGCTTTCTAAAGAAACATGGCATACACATACATATACAGATTAAGCTTTGTCCTAATGCTTGGATCTTTCCATGTTATATATTTAAAGAAGTAGGGCTGCTGGCTGGAAGCCAGCCAGATGAACCAACACAACAAAAATTGGTATGTAAGAAAGGCACAAGAAATGACATCTGTTCTGATAAAGAACCTACCTCCTCAAAGTTGTCAATCATAAAAAATATGTTTGGATAGCTAATCTTGGATTCTTCCCCTTTGCTGTCCATTGGGTGTTTACTTGGAGATGCGAAAACTTGCTGAAGAAAACATTTGGAAGATATTATGTAACTTGCTGCACAGTTAGTGACACATAGACCTATGAATGCTAGAAGGGAGTGGACATGTTATGAAGCCCCTGGTCTGAGGGGAGGGAGAATTTGCTGCTCCACCAACAGAGCAGCAAATAAATTAATGGTTGGATTTGGTGGTGGGCAGGCAAAGATGGACTGAAAGCTGAAATTCCTCATTGGTTCAGATGTTAAACTGAGCTGATCTTTTGATGTCGTAATGTTTGCTTTACATAAGGAAAGCTTTACAAACCCACCTAAATTTGTTTCCCAAGTTGCTCCCGGATAATGACTGGAATTTCTACAATGAAATGAAGGCACTGGTTCCCTGAAGAGTACCCTCAGTTCTTGTAAAGTCATTTGAACAGAAAGTGGCTGCAGCAAAGGAGATTGCCTTTCAAGCATCACACTAAGTACTTCTCACCTGGGATTTCTTTTTGTGAATGTGGATATCCCCACCATCAGAACGAGTACAAACAGCACATGTCACTATGTAATCCAGCTGGAACAAAATCAAGATGTAGGAAACAAAATGTAAATAGGCATGCAAAATAAACAAAGCAGAATGAAAGCCTTAAAAGCTTTTAAAAACAGTTTTCTCCCTGCCCACCTAAAAATAAGCATCTCCCCAGTTTCCTTTTTGACTCAATTCTTAAAGCAAGAAGGTACCGTTTAAAAGCAAGTCACCCTATTCTTTGTTTCCCTTCTCAGTGTCCAACTTCTGTTCACATATCCTCATTCTCAATGCATAATTTAATCCAAAAGTAGCATGTTTGTTGAGCTAGAATTCTGCAGCCAGAACCTTCAAATCAGCAGCTTCTCACACCTCTATGGCTCCTTGCCATGTATTCTTTTCCCTTTGCTGATTTCTTCTTTCCTTCCTCCCTTTTCCCTCATGCCCTTCATTTTGCCAACCTCCTTCTCCTAATTTTCCCTTGTCTGCAGCCTCCTCAGGCTTCTCCCCCATTATTTTCCAAGCCTTTTGCTTTTTCCAACCCCTTTTGCTTGCTTTGCCCTTCCTAAAAATCAGAGCTGCTCAGCCAGTGGTGGCCAAAGACACTTCTACCTGTCCTGTCCCTCAGCCAATTGTTTCCAAAGAGTTCGTTGCCATGACTGAAACACCCCTTGGAGCATTACCACAGAGTACCAGGCAAGAAGACAGTCAAATTCGGTTTTTTATAAAGGGACAAGATGAAAAGGAAACATAACTCAAAGGAAGAAAGTTAAATTTTAAAATACCTCATGCTAGTCAACAGAGTCAGGCCTTCACAACTGATTGCTCATCTGCTTTTCAACTGATAAATATGCATTCAATGAATTCTCCATAGAGAGGTCTTTCTGAGATACTGATAGAACTGTGAGACAGATTTCTTTTTTAATTAAACCATAAGTTACCACTTATGCTTTGAGCAAAAGATCTTAAAATATATTTTATATGCTATTATAATAGCACCACAGAATTAAAACAGCCTCATAAACACACATATAGCCCCTTATCTCTTAACATGTACAAATCAAAATTTGCCTTCACAGATTGAAATTGCACAGTTAAATTCAGCAAAAGTTGATTTAGCTGATAAGTTTAGCAATCATAGATTGTTGGGCTAAACATGCCGCAGCATACTAAAATATCTAAATATGTTTTAATATATCCATCTGTGTGTTTAGTTTAGTTAGTGACTGGAATTTGTATTCAGACTTTCCTCCTTGATAATAGAGTGGCCAAGAAGTTAAAATCATAGATCAAACCCAAATCTAAATCAGCACCTTAACAACCATAAACAAAAAGTAATAAAAACCTGTAAATGGAATATCTTCCTGCGTAATGTACCATACACTGTAGCAGCTACTGTAGTACTCCTCCTCCTTCCATGCCCATCTTCAAAGCATGCCCTTTTTTTTCTCTTTCTCCCATGGGGCTGCCCTGTGCTCCCTGAGCTAGCCTGATACAGTGGAAGACACTATCCTTTCATCAGTGTTGAAGCTGCAAAGGAAGAATAGAAGGTCACCTTTTGCAGAATGAGGTTCAGGTAGACACTCTCCTCCCAGTCAATATCTGGATCTCCCAGGCCAGGGAGCTTCTTGGAATCCCTGCGGTACACTTCAACTTCAACCTGCTGAGAGAAAACCCAGGAGTGCTGGAGGTAAATGCTGACTAGTAGCAGAAAAAATATTTCTTGAGGACCTACAAGTTGACTACCTTGAAAACAGAGACAGAAACTCCATAAGAACAAGGTCTTACTAAGCAAGAAGTAGGAGGAGAGGCAAAAGAGGGGAAAAGATTATTCACAGCTTATTATTCATAAAGATTATTCTCTCAGGCATTTTGAAAGTTGGGTTTGAGGTCCAAAACTTTTGCACATTTTTATAGGCATCCCATTTTCCTGGGGCTAACAGGATGAGTGATGCCACCCTTACTCAAACATTCAAGGTGAATATTATGACCCCCATATTCTGCTCCTCTCAAATAATCGCCTCCCTTCCTTTATCTCACTTACATGCAGTGCCCTGAGCAGGAAGGATTCTTTCCCCTTCTGGTTATGCTGTGGCTAGACATTGCCATGGAAAACGCCATTATCCCTCAGGAACTCCTTGAAAACATAATTTCCGCAGCTACTTTTGCTTATGCTTGTCAGCTAGAAACCTTGCCGCCTCCTCTCTGCCTGCAGCTTGGCACCACTGGGAGAAAAGGGGCATGGATTCAGGGATTCAAGGGAGGTAAACCTTGGCTGGCTGAGATACCCGATGCTTTGGGCGGGCAGTACTGGTCCAGCATATTTCTGACCTAACCCAATACAAGCTGTAGGTGCTTCATGAGTCACTAAATGAGAGGAGAGATCCAAACCAAACTTGCAAATAAGTTCATAAAGTAAACTAGCTTACAAAAGGTATTATCACTACTCCTGCCAACACCCATCTATATTAAGCTATCAAACACACACAGACACACACATCAAAGGGGGAAAAATGAAACAGAGCTTTATTGTAACTGAGAAAAACTTCCTGCTTTCTTACCAGACAACCAGGCAAGTTGCTATTTACAAGCATGATTTAAGAAAGCTTATCAAGTTTAATTTATATCATATATTAATAGCCCTCCACACAAGACATGCTGTAATTAACCCCAGAGTTTGACACTTTGGTGTGACATGTAGTGTGTTACACACACACACACACACACACACTTCCTCCCTCCCAGTCTCAGCCCCAGGCAATAGAATTAAATCTGTTGATGCATGCAATAGAATGATGCATTCTACTGCTAGAATTGAGACTGCAGACTTTTATCACATGGCATGTGTTAACTGGCTTACCATCACCATCACCAGCAGCAAGAACTTCTCTATAACTGACTACTGCTAATAATTTGGGTTGACTCTATCAGTACTTTCTGCATTGATTTTCCTTCTGGACTTCTTTTACCATTCTCCCCCCATCCAGCACACCACACCACACCACTGTATTAAAAAACTGAAACTTTGCTTTATGCTCCATGTATCTGACATTGATGAAAATTTATGTAACAGCAAATGTTACATGTTGGGGTTTACATGAGTGGATCCAGGGTCAGACAAGATGGCTTGGGAGGCCCCTTCTGACTTGTGTTTCTATGTTCCTAAATAACCTGTGCTTGCAGTTCCTGTAAACAGCACTGAAAGGAGCTGCTTGCCAAGGCTCCAGTGGTTCCCAGTCAGCCCTTGTGATGTATGAGAAACTTGCTTCAGTTCATTTCTGATTAGGATTTACCCAGTTCACACCTTCCAGACTGCAAACTGAGGTAGGAATCTGTAGATTTCTGAGCTTGTCAAGTTATTTGAAGACAAAAAACATATTCAACAGTACATGTGCATCTAATATTTCAATGATGTGTACAACTGATGAATACATCTGTAAAAATATGCATGGGTTTTATTTGAACAAATGACACTTGTTATCTGATATTAGCTCAAGTCAGAACAAGTTTCAAGGTGGAGTTTGGAGAATTTTGATAAGCTTGAGTTTTGCTAATTTGCACATCTCTAGCAATCTGCAATTAAAATATCACTTGACTAAGTTGTTTCTGCAAGCATGGGAGCATCAGCTAGACAGAGAGAGTGAGAAGGTGAATAACAGGTCAGTGATTGCTTTCACATTTTTTAACCTACTTGCAGCTATCCACATGCACGGTGTTTTAGAGAGGATGCCTCCAGATGTGACAATTGGAATGCTTCATTCACAAATTTTATGGGCGGGGGTGGTCATCTTCTATTTGTGACTACCTCCTATGTTATCCCACCATGTCTTCCATCTTTATGTCTGTCAGTAGCAACAACACGGCAGGGAAGATGGAGTTGCTGCACAGTGCCTTTTGTACTGTCAATAATAGAAGCACCCAGCATACAGAATTCCATCCCATAAATAGGTGAAAATTCAGACAATTCAGACTGAAAGTAAATTGTCTTGTCTTGAAGACTGATATTAATAATAGAGGCTTCATTTAGGAAAGGTTGAAAGTTACTGCTTTATGTTGCCCTCATCTGGATTGATCCAAAGAGGTAGAGTACCAACCCTTGACTAGAATCCCTTGACTAGAATCTCACATTCATGTGAACTCACTAGGGGGTCTCAGGGAAGGCACTCTTTCAGTCTCCCCCTCTCATGAAATAAAAGATAGGAATACTCCATTACTCAAGACAGCTGCATAAGGGATCACACTGAATGAATGCCTAATGCTTTAAAAATTTCATAGCAAGGCTCCCCAACATAGTGCCTATGGCTACTCACAAAACTTTTTATTTTTTTCCCATTTTTGAAATAAATGTACATGGATTTCTGTATGTCCATAGAAATGAATACAAATTAAACACAAACAGCTTTATTATATTATCATTATTATTACTACTACTATTACATTTCTATACTGCCTATAGTCAAAGCTATCTGGGCGGTTCATGGCATTAAGTCACCCATCCAGATTTCAACAAGAGCCAACCCTGCTTAAACTTCCAAGAATAAACAGGAACAGGCACTTTAGGCTATACAGAAGACTATATGACACCAGTTCAAGTACTGGAAGTGTTATCAAGGTCCTCAATCCATGGCATTATAGGAGTTGAATGTTTATAATTCCACTGCTATAATATCAGTCTTTTACCTATTATAGGGCACAGATCTATTTATGCTGAGCATTTGTTAATTTCTGTGAAACAGGTAATTTATTTAAGAGTTACTATATTAGTAAATATTAAAGGCTGTTCCAAACAGCATCTGTGAAGTAACCTCCTCTGCAAAAGAAGCGCCCACTGGATATTATTCTCAGTAAGAAATCACATTTCTTATTGAAATCACAGTAAAAGTTACATTTAAATGAAACATTAGCTGCTTTACATCTTCAGCAGACAGTTGAATCAGGCAGAGTCACTGAGGTGCAACAGATACAAAACAGAAGATTTTTGCTGACAAAGATGCAGTCTAAGATACAGATCGTAGATCCATCTTAGCCAAAAAGAAAAACTGGTCAGGTTACTCAAGTCTAAGAGGAAGAAATCAGATTTACAAAAAATAAAAAATAAAAATCAGCTCTGTCCTGAAAAAAAAAAAGTGATAATAGACAGCATCTTACATATTAGATGCTGGCTTAAGGATGCAAACGAGGTCATCAAAAGACCAACCATCTCCAATTAGTAAACCCATTGACTGGTAAATTGCCCAGGTGCCAGACATACCGTAATAGGAAACATTAAAATACAGTGGAACCTTGGCTCACAAACGTCTCAGTTCACGACCAAATCGGGTTGCAAACAGACATTTCATAAAAATTTTGCCGCAGGTCGCGAACACTGCATCAAGCATTCTTGCCTTCCCTGAATGGGTGCGATCATGGTTGGGCTGGGTGAGGGGAGATGGCTGCATTCGTGCTGCAGGGGAGAAGGCTGCGATTGCGCCATGTTCCCTGCCTGAACGCACCCACCTCCCCCCACAGCGCGCCCATGATAATACCCATCTCCCCCCACCCCCCTGCACGATCACTGAGGGTGGGAGAAGATGGCCGCAATCTTTGTTGTTCTTTGTCACTTTGCTTCACATTTTTTTGAGTAAAAAAATAGTTGCAGAACGGATTAACCTTATTTACATTGACCCTCATGGGGAAATTTGACTTGGCTCGTGACCAATTTGGGTCACAACCAGAGTCCTGGAACGGATTAAGTTCATGAGCTAAGGTACCACTGTATCTAGAGTACCAGCTAGGTGAAGTTTTCCTTCTCCCTCGGACCTATCTAGTACGAGGAACAGAATTTTAACCACATGGAATGAATTCTCTGCCAGTCCCAATCTACTTCTGGTACCTTGCAATGATTTAGGATATAAAACAGGTGGATTCCTCCACTTCTTCAATTTTCTACCCTCATGCTACCCTCATACTCTCATTCACTGCTTCAACTACATTCTGTAGTCTCTGGAAGTTATGTGAGGGTCACTGTTTAGGGTTCTTAAATTTTATTTTCCTTTCCAATTTACAAGTTAATACATTTCTGAATATATAGGGGAACCCCTGAATACTTGGAGACAACTACATTGGAGGGAGGGGTATCTCTGTTTTGCTTTCAAACAGACTGCATAATCAAGAGGGAACATAAGTATCACACTCAATAGAATAGGTGGGATCAGCAAGGGTATGTAGCAGTGTTGCGGGTTCCAGATAGTCAGTATTCCACAGAACTCTATTCCATTGCTGTTCCACCTCAGTTTTTGACTTCCCCCAAGCCTGGCAGGATTCCATGAACATGCTCAGTCCTCCATACAGGGAGGATCTCCCTTAAGATCATTGCCTAAAGTTCTTTTTTCACTTCTTCAAACCTTTATGTTTTATGCACCTGCTGGTACCTCCTTGTGTATGAGAGGTGCTGGTTTGACTACATGAAAATTGGACACTCGCCCCTGAGCAACACTAATAGAGGAAATTCTGGCCACACATACCATAGCACACATAACATCCCACTATAGAAGGCAAAATCATATGCAGCCTTGAGAGAGAAAAGCTGCACGCTAATGCAGAGATAAACATTAAATTTATTACGATCACTATATATCAAAAACAAAACAAACAAACCACACACAACTTCAATGTTCTAGAAGTATTAAAGGGGAAAACACAAATACTAACCTAACTTGCATCAACATTGTTCAGATGGGAGCTACCTGTCTGGAAGATTATTTGTATAACAATAACATAGAATAAAATGCTCTGCTATTTGAATCACCTTTTCTTGGTATAACTGTCAGATTTTCCATTCCAGAGTACTTTTTTTTAATACTTAAGGAGTGGTACATATGAAGAAGTAGAGCCTTCACATCAACAGAAGCCACAGTTTTAAGGTCACATGTGACTGAACCAGAATTGCCAGCAGCAAGGTATACACAACACATTCCAGTCTCAAGACAACCAGAAGAGAGTGTACCAATGTAACAGTAGTACAGGATGTGGCCTGAGTGGATTAGCTCATAGCAGATACTCTGATCCTAACAAAAGCTGTCATGGAGCTGAATTAGAAACTATTGACATGGTACAGCATTTACCCATATCTGAGGAAAGCCAGAGAGTTTCAGTGACAACATCCCGCAGAGACTAAATCTTATGATATTACAAGGGTGGCCTAGATGATGTGTGAAGACATAGTTCCTTTAATCTGTACTAAATCTCACACCAATTAGGTTCAATGGGATGAACCCATGTTTGAGTATTATGGGAGAGGGAGAAAAATGTCTTCTTCTTTACTTCCTCCACACTATGCATTATTCTAAAAATCTGTATCTACCTTCTTTCGAAGCTGTCATAACTGTTGCAGCTGCTCCGGTCATTTTTGTTACACTTTTCTGGACCTTTTCCAACTCAATAATGTCCTTTTTCAAGTAAGGCAACCAGAACAGAACACAATATTCCAAAATATTCAAAGATTTGTACATGGAAAGTAAGATTTTGGCAGTTCTATTTTCTAGTCTGTTCCTAATTATACTAGCATGGTTGCACACTGGGATGATATTTTTATCAAGTTGTGCACTATTACCCCAAGATCCCTTTCTTACTCAGTCATTGCTAGTTCAGATCCCATCAGCATATAACTGAAGCTGGGATTTTTTTTTTTTTTTTTTTTGCTCCAATATACATTACTTGAACTGAATTGAATCCCAAGTAAAGCATTCAAATTAATATTTTTACAGTGTTTTTTTCAAGCTTGATGAAATGCTATTTGACATGAATGCTGAACAAACAATGGAAGAGGTGCTTTCAGCAGGAAGGTCTCAGGGATTCTGGGATTTGACCCAAGAACTATTTAGTTGGAGGCTGGGTGCCATTTTACTGAACTGCCTGGGATTGTGTGCACTTAGTTGGGCACAAAAGAAAGAAGGTATGCACAACACTGCCCCCTGCAATTGTTGGTCTCACAGTGTAAAGTCCCTGGATTAGCCAGACTTATTATCAGGTTTCTTTTATTATCTGATTAATCTATTGTTTGCCTATTTCCATCACCCAGGGGTGAAGCCTTCAGACCAACATAACTCTCATCAGGTTTATATCCAGGCATGGAAGCCCATAATCTCCTCTGCCTCAGGAAATTACTATATCAGAGACAGAAACTTCTCTACCAGATATAACAAGAACTTCTTTCTGTTCTGCAACAGCAATATAAGAGCAGGCTGCAACCAATTCCTTCATCAAAATGCAGTTTTCCTAAGTAAAATTTTTCATCAGGCAGGAAATTTATTTTTTATATATGAATTTTCCCATCTCACCACATTGTAATATGTGTTCATTTGCTCCTCTCTTACATATGAAATTGTTTTTTATGTGAGAATAAAAAGGTGTATGATATAACCACTATTGTTTTTGCGAACTGCATTCTAGGTTTTTAAAACAATTTTCATCCTTCAAAAATGGTTAGGGTTGGGGTGCATATAAGAGCAACTGTGGCCAACTTCCCAGTATTTATATTCAGGAAACACTAGAAAGACAATGATCAGTTCATAGCTAGGTAGTTCACATTTGCACTGGAATTTTATAGCATACATTCATGATTACTTAACTTCAGTTGCACCCCATGACTGCAAACACAAATGTCATACCTAATGGCCCCAAGAGTCTAAATATTATAATGTGTGAAAGCATTCTAGAGCACATTACTTTATTTTCTTCTATTTTCCTTTCTAAAGCCCACAAAAGCTTATAGAAGAAAATAAAAACGAACTTTAAAAATAGATTTAATGTTATAAGCCTTCCTACTAGGTGCAAGTCATGAGTCCCTACATTGCACACTGTAACTTACACCATCTCTCCACATCACCTCTAAGCACATTCAGCCATAACTTGAAGAAGGAACAGAGGCCCTTTAGATGTAATATTGTTACCAGACTCACCTTCTTTCCATCTGTATTATCTCCACTGACACAGGATAGTTTTCTGCGTACATAGAACAGCATGTCATCCTGCCGGGGAGCCCATTTCTCCATAAAATAGGTGGAAAACATCCATGTCCAGAACACAATGCGGTCATCTTTGAAACACCCTAAAAAGTGAAAAAATGATAAAAGTTAAGAACTGCTGTTGCCATTGGAGATAGGGACCAATGTGGCTTTGCAACATTTTTGTTTGTGATGTGTGGAGGAACATTCAGTCACATGAGTCCTGTCCAGCAGTCAGAAATAAAAGCAGGTTACCCATCCCAATGTGAAATAATCCTCAGATTCCTTGCTGGACGATCACCATGACCCCAAACTTTGCATGAGCAGAGTTCTGCAGTCCAGGGAACTTGCGCATGCAGGCTTCTTAATTTCAGACACCCATACCAATGCATGGATGGCAGAGTCCAGAAAAATGGAAGTTGTGCATTGTAAGGGACAGAGCCAGAGGTACCATCTTGCAGATCATTTAACATCTAAGAACACATTTTATTTCAGTGTCTTTGCCTGTGTCGATGAGAACTTACAGCTGATCTACAATTATTAGTTCTTGGTATCATAAGATGAACATCATAAACTTTATACACTGCATTAGTAAACAACTTCATTGTGATGTCTACAAAGAGATTCAGCTGCCACAGGCATACTAATCTGAGAGAGAAGAATGGAAAAGAGAGGAAATATGGCTGCTTCTTTCATAATGGGAAGATTAGAAGGTTATGTTTTTCCCAGGAAAAAAATGGAAAAAATATGGCTGTGCTGTCCTTATAGCTGTGTTCAGTGGCTAGATCCCCATTGCTGTACAACTTGTAACAGCTTCCTCGGGACCAAAAGATGGGCACCCTTTCCCTGAAATGTATCTCTATTTGTTCATATACTTCAGTCCTGTCATTCCAAAGGGAGAGAAGGTGGGGGAGCGCGTGCAGAAAAGGTAAATATCATTAGAAAGGCACCTTCTGAAATTTGTTTAAAATGCAGCTCTTACCACTATTTACTACAATTTATGGCTTAAATTTGTCAGTCAGTGACAGAGACTTGCAGCTTCCTGCCAAGGAAGTTTGGCAGGGCTCTTCATAAAGCAAATAATGTAATTACCACTCCTGCATCAGTCTACATGAAATGCCCACCTTCCTTGAAAAGGTCCCCTCTTAATTACTCTACAGGGACCAAAATTGCATGGCAAAGGGAAAGAAAGGCTGGAACCCTTCTTACAACTAAAGCCATACCCAGAAGAAATAAAAACAGGAGCATTTGGAGGATGAATGAGGGTGATGATCACACCCACACTGAAGCTGCACCAGTAGCACCCCCTGCCCCCAGCCTGTTCTCACAAGCTCAAATCATGATCTTCCTTCAGGCTGAAGGCTGGATGCAGTGAAAGAGCTGATATTTGAATGCTCCTTCTTGCAGACAATCCACCAATACTTGTTCTATATGGAAGGTACTTTTTATGGCAGTCCATTAGCATTACAGGTAGTTCTTCTGCTATGGACAAATTCCATTCCTGAGAATGTCCTTAAGTCAAATTTGTATGTAAGATGGATCACACAAGTAATCCAAATACTTGTTGGAATATATGTATATATTTCACCTGTCTATGCATATAAAACACTTAAGAATCACTTCCATGTTCCCTAAAACATCTTAAACACAATGCAGCATTGTAAAAAGATAATAAAACAGTAATAATAAAGTAATTACAGGGACTGAAGAGAGAATCTGAGTGCATGTGTGCAGGCATACAATATTGAAAAAACAAAAGAAACAGTTCTTAAATCAATTTTGAACATTCTTGATGTAACATTAACATTAACTGTTGATGATAGAGAGTTGGGGTTTGGATGTGGGGGGAGGTACCACTGGAGTCACTTATTTGAATTAGGTCTCAAAAGTTGTTTCTACAGCCATTTTCTTTTTCTCACTGTAAATGGCCTTGTAGCAGCAGAGGCCTGGTTATAAGAGCAAATGCTAAAGAAAAAGTTCAAAAATTTTTGAAGTAAATTGAAGTGTCAGTTTTCAAATTGCATAGCTACTGACAATGAAAACACTGGTTTCAATTGAAGCAAACCACTGGCTTGGACACAAAGATGTTATGGAAGTGTTATGCACATCCCAGCTGTTAGCACACAAAGCCTACAGACCGATGGAGTTGCATACAGAAAGGGGTTTGGCAAATTGGTAGACAGCACTTCTTGTGCCAGTCTGAGTGTGAATGCAGCGCTTGTTTGTGAATAGAGCATGTGCGTAGCATGAGAGTAACTATGAATAAATGAATGAGAAAGGGCCACAGAAAGCCTTTTAAATTAGACACCACATTTGTGTTTACAAATGAAGGGCTCTCCATGTTCTTATCGGTTAGAGACAACCTAAGTAAAATATTTCAAAGATTTGAACAGTGTTACATAAAGACTGAGTATCAATACTAAATATTATTCTAGAAAGTCAACACACTTTTCCCTTATTTGCCTGGAATGTTTCATGGTCAGCAAAAGGAACTATCTTGTTGACAACACATATATCAAACATACAGCATTCTCTGAATTAACTTCCTGCACTGACTTTTGCAGCCAATGCGGGGAGGCTACTGAGAGTTTTCATAAAGCTGTTTTACTTACACTCAGGACTCCAAAGTTAACAATATTCATAAATATCCATAAATGTTGGGCTATAACTCACCTCATTTCCAGGTAGATGGATAGCAAGAAGCAGCCACAGCTAAAAGAACCCCCAGCAGAACAGAATTCCAAAACCACACCTTGTTTATTGTTGAAACAGGACTATACATTGCATACAATTGCTCCAAACCAATATATTTCTATGTAAGACAGACATATTTAGGCTTCTCTGCCTGAGACATTAATTGTGCACTTATGGCTCCTTAGTCAAGGAAGTTGGTGGGGCCTTTCCATGATCTTGTCCTCCCTTCAGGACATCTGTGTTTTCCATTGTTGGGAAAATTTGGATAAATCCTGGCAGAAAAATGTTGCTTATGTGTGCTTTTGTGTTATGAAATCAAATCTGCACTCTTTCTCAAAAGCACCAGCTTTCCAAGCTAAGTCACTGTTTAATATTGTTGACTGCCTTAAGAAAATAGCATTCCCTCCCCCCTCCTTTCTCTTGCTCTTCTTCTCACCTCTAGCTGTAAGCCAGAGCAGATAGGACATTCAGTAGAATATACATTATATGCATTCACAATGTAGCTAAATAATCTCTTTAGGAATGTACAGTTTACCAGGAAGTATCTATTTTGCTATGCTTTACTCAGGGTCTCAGCCTTCCTGATAATGGAATGTAACACAGGGGCTTATGATTTCAGGGAAGATTTCTCAATAGCCTGAATTTACATGTCTAAGCAGATCCGGAGATGGGTTCAAGTCTCAGGAAGTTACTCAACTGAAATGTCAATACACTGCAATTAGAAATAGTGCAATCTTATTTTCACTTGTATGATTGGCTGATCTTCCTTTATCTGTCCTGTATATGATGACCTCAGAATTTTACTGTAATATCTGCATTCTGGCATCAATTGCTCTTTACCTTGTACATGACCAGGAAAGTATAAAATACCCTATACTTGTATTGAAAACTCACAATCGAGTTTACCTCTACCTGCCTGGTAATGCATTATCATGAGTACGGACCTGTGGGGAACCTGGGCTAAACAATAAAGCAGTGGATGGTCTAAACCATGGCTCTTCAAACTACGGCCTGGAGGCAGTATCTGGCTTGCCTGGGGTTTTGGTCTCACCGTGCATGAGCCCACCACCATCCGCCTTGCCCTGCACGCACCTGCCACTGCCTCGCCGTGTGCACAGGGAGGTGGCAACTTGCTCGCGCAGAGATCATTTTGGATTTGCTCAGAGAAAATGATCTCTGAGCGAGCAATCGCATGTCCCCACCCCGCCTTGCTGCCCCCGCCTTACCCCCTGCACACATGCGCCCTGCCCCACCCCCTTGCCAGCCTGCGCACGCTGCACTTGTATCTCCACCACAGATGCATTATTACAGGAAGCCACACCAAGAGCACTTTCATCAACCTTGTTGTGGCCCCTTAAGACGAAATAATCTTATGCAGCTACTGTGGTAAAGCAGCTAGTCTTTTTCAGCAGTCTTTGGGACAAGGAGTGAGGGGCTTGCCTCACTTTTGTGGTATATAAACTTTTGTGGCATAAAAAAAAATATTTTGGGGGAGTGGGAAGAATGGAGGCTTACTCTTAGGATAAGTCAGTGAAGGGTCTTAAGGTTCTCTCTCACATGCTTCAGGAGTAACTATAGGAACCTCAGCAGGAAAAGCACTATGTGATGATGAATATTGCTCCAGAGGCACTGTGGGGATGATAGCACACCTGATAATAATGCTGCCAGAAAAAAAACATTGAATCAAACTGCAGTGTACACAAGGATCTACTTATGCATGCAGGATCTCTGGCCCACAGATTGCTTGTTCACTTAGATCCACAGGTTCGTCAAAGGCAGCACCACTAATAAGGGTACAGGACAGGACAGGACAGGACAGGACAGGACACACATTCCATGAAAGGTTCAGTTTTAGTCCCTCACATCTCCAGGTAAATGGAGGAAGTAGATGGGAATGGGAAAGACCCTGCTGGGGAGCCAGTGCCAGTCATCCTGGACTGATGAGATCTGACTGACTTGGCCTAAGGTAGCTTTCTATGTTCAGAAGTCCTGAGATGAGTTTCCAACTTACTTTTCTCTCTCTTGAGCACCAGAGGCCCCTCATGACAGAAAAGCAGCATTGCATGTTGTATTCGCAAACCATATACTATCTGTTCCTTAAGTACAGTCCAGCATACCTACTGCCTTTTTGAATCCAGCTGCAGTTCTTCCTGCAAGGAATGCACTCAACCTGTTTAATACATTAAAAACAGGTCTGTAGAGTTGTCAGTCACTATCAAGATTCAAAGATAAACCTCATTCAGATGTCATGCTAAAACAGTAGTCTGGGGAGAATAAATTCAACGCTTATCATGGAGTACACCCATAAGGCTAAACAGCTCCATGGTTTTGCACTATGTCTTGAATCAGCATAAAAATTCAATTCACTGGGTGCCAGTGGGTTGCTCCCTCTTTCCATCTTACCTACCCT